TTTGCTTTTTTTTGTTTTCTTTTATTTATTTTTCTTTAATTTATTTCGTGTATTTTGTTTAGCACCTGCGTCAAACTTTCTCTACTCCCAGGGTTGACTGGAAGAGAATGCTTATTAGCATTAAGTTTGCCTTTTGTTTAGCCTTAAGTTGAGATGTAAACAATAAATTTTAAATAAATACATAAGTCATCATTATACAGCGTGTCTTTACAATCGCGACAAAAAATTAACACACATATAGAGGATAACTTTTTCAAATTGTATTAAACATTTACTTTCTTTAAAAATATTTACAGAGTTATTAAATTTTCCAAAACAAAGAATTTTAGAACATCCTTAAGTATAAAACTGTAACGTAAAGTTCATTTGTAAAGGTCACAAAGCATATGAATGGGTTGAATGAATTTAAAAGAGACAAAACATACTGTTAGAAGGAGAGCCTTGTAATACGACGCCGTGGTAACGAATGAAAAAGTCTCTGAATGTATGAATCAGTCAGATGTAGTTGTATAGATGTTAAAAATTTTGTTTCTTTTTTACTTAATTAGTTTGTTTGAAAAAAATTTTTTTTTAATTATGAATTTTTTAACGTAAATATTTTTTTATGATAATTGGCAAGTAGCGTTAGACGTGTGTTCATTTATTGTCGCGATGGTAACGACACGCTGTATAAGCGGCTAAAAATTAAAGCAAAAAATAAATAGGCTCCAAAGGAAATTCTATCGTCATAAACGATAAATGTATAAAAATGTGTCTTTAATAAAAACAACTATTAATGTCATAATTTTTATTTTTGACATTCGTTTTGTTTGTAAAATATTTACATTGGCAATTTTTCGGGCAGTGGTGTTGTTAATGGTCATTAAGCATGCTTTAACAAAATCTATACCGTTGACAAGTTCTCTCTTATTTCATTGTTACCTTAGTTATTTCAGTTCTTAACAACTTTTTTCTTATTGGCTAGAACAATAAATCGAACAGATACTTGGCTACGCGGATAGTAACTGCTTATTTATGTATCATAACCAAAGACATTTATTCTGTATTGTTCATTTTTACATTTAAAATATTCACTTAATTATCTAGTTATCCCTACGATTTCTATCAAAAATTATTCTTAAGTCAACGATAAACATGACTAATTGTTAAACATTCATCGTTATTTTGAAGAATATTACAATTTTATAGCATTTTTTTAAAGTTCGTTTATATAAATTACTGGAAACATCTTCCAAGAGTTTGCTTATATTAAAGATATTTGTTAAATAAAAGTACAAAAACATTTACTTTTCTTCAAGTACTTATTATGTACATAAACTATCCGAAAAAATGTTAGTTTTTGGCAATCAAGTAGCAGTATCAAAGTGTAATCTACTTTCTATTCATATAATATTTGAGCTTTGTCTATACTCTTAATAATAAAATAAAGTGAAAAACATAAATTGCTAAGGAATATATATCGTTTGTGTTTAAATGTGCGATCTGATCGAATTAAAATATTGACAATATATCTTGATGTTTACGATTTAACATTAGTTTTGTGATAACGATATTTGGACTACATCACGATTTACCGAAAAAATCGTTTTATATACTTCAATTTGTTGTTCATTGTAGAAATGGTACAAGAATTTTATTACAATTATTAATCATATTGTAATACAAAAATAAATCTACTGTTAAGAAGAAGTATGTAATATTTAAATATATACAAGGACTAATAATGAAATTAACTATTTGCAATAAATGTTATTCAATTCATGCTTTGTATGCTACGAGCTCACGAGAATGATAAATTGCAATGCTTAAAAGAGCACACTGATTTGAAGGAATACATAATGTTCTACGTATATATCATGAAAACGGGAAGTACTTTACGTTAGTTACGAAAACTATTCAATCTCTAATATTCAACTTTAAGTTCGAAACTTTAAGTTGAAAATGCTGTTATAAAAATTATCAAAATAAATTAATTACTATGTTATTTTGATTACTCTTATCAATAATTAAAAAAAAATGTATTCCTTAAATGAATTTTTATAAAACATTCAGATATGGTTTCAGTTTTATAATATTTAGAAAACATTTAATCGTCAATTTATGTGCGACATCACTAAGTAGGGAAGCGGGAGTTTCCGCTGTTGTACAAATGGGCAGGTCCAACCGGGTAAGTACCACTACCTCACTGAAGGCCGGCGTGAAGTGGAAGTACAACACTTCGCGTTTCGTCAGGAGAGTGAGGTTAATGGGGTTCACTTTCTGAAAGGTCAGTCAGGTATTTCATACGTGTATAGGCGGCCGTAATCACCTAACATTGGCACTGCTTTTTTTTACCGTTATTTGACAATAAAAAGAAAGATACGCAACGTACATTTTAAACAGTGAATATGTTAAGCAGATATTGGAGTTATTTAAAATAAATTGTGTCAACCTAAACATACACTATGTGTGAATACAAATATATATATGTGAAGAGAGACTGCGAATGCATGATTCTAGTAGAGTTCACATTCAATAAAGTAATAATAAATCTTATGTATATCCTAAAAATACGTAAGCAGTAAGTATATCGTGGGCTTTTAAAGAGGGGTGTATTTACCACCTAAGTACATAATTAATAATCAACAAAAATCAAATTTCAGTAAATCCTCAAGTAACTTCAAGGCTTTGGTGCTAAATACTATCAAAGCTTCAACGTAAATGCATGTAGTGTTAACAAATAACTTATGTACCCTCTACGTGTAACTTATGATAAAAAATAATAAAATATATAATATGTACATGAGTGCAACAGACATAAAACCTTTGGAACACAATTGCTCACAATAAGAGCATGTTTTAAGAAAAGAGTAAGTGGTATGTTACGGTTACATTGTTACATTTCTATCGGTTTATGACAAGCTTAAGTTGAAAAAAGAAAACTTTGACTTTGAAAGTCTCACAACACAGTCGATATTCGCTTTAATCGCCTACGTTTAAAATTCGAGTAACCACTATAAACTAATTTAAGCGTTACCGTAAACTATTCGTTAGAACTTCAAAACAATATTCATTGTGGCCGATATCAACAGTTTACAATAATTTAGTTTGATGGGATGAAATTTTTATTGTCCTCATCTTAAATCTCTGAATAGGCCGAAAAGGTTTAAGTACAAAACATATAGATATTTCTACGTGTAGATTGATCGATGTAGACCGTGATGAAATTCGAGGGGGTTAGAGATATGTGTGGTAGTGCCATGCAACAGGCCTAACAGAAAGTCGGCGTGAAGTAAGCATTACACTTTGCATTTCGTGTGGTGATTCAGGTAGCCGGGGTCTACTGATTTTAAAGATTGGTAACACTTGCAAACCGTGAGGTGTCGTTGAACAATGTTGGCGGTAAGCAATTGACATCTGGTGAAGAACGTGCTCGCTTGCGAACTTTTCTGAGAAAAACACAGATATGAGGGCGTGATATATTGCTAATCGTAAATTTGCAGCAAGCGTCTTAGAGGCAAGAATGAGCTTTTACTGAGTTAGAATTAAAATATCTCAACTCGTTCCGATTGCTTTAAGAGAAGTTATTATTGAAGTTTATTGACCTTCGATTCATAGAATCTTAGGTACCGAGCTATACAGTTAAATTAATTTCGTTGTGCCGAACTGAACAATCTGCGTTACATCATCAAGGATTATTTAGGGAAACGATGGGAATAGAAATATCGGAAGTATCTCATTTTTAAGATATGAACACAGTCAAAACATTCACGTATATACGTAACGGTAGTACAGTAAACAACTTTAATTAGTGTTCCCGCTTTTTCTAAGTCTTGATGAATATAAAAAAGTATATTAAAAAAATCTGATTTTGAAGCTTTTTATTCGAGTTTTTAAAAGAGTTTAAAAAAAGCTAAACTGCTATGATATTATAACGAAAGGTATGGAAGTAGTTTAATACTATTAGCAGTCTCATCGACCTATCTATACGTACGCTCCTTTTTTCTTTCGAATTTACTAAGAACACTAATGATAAATTTTCAATACATATCAAATAGTTATTCACTATTCTCGTTTACAACAGTCTTTATTGTCATACATTTTACACATGAATTGTAAAATCTCTTCTTTCCTGCTCTTGTCTTTGTTGGTACCTAAAAGGAAAGTAAAATAAATTAAGATTAACCATGTGAGGTTGCATAATAGATATGTAAATGATAAGAATTTTTTTTGCTCAAAATATTATAATAACAAACAAGCAATGGCAATTTAATATTTTTTTCCGACTTCATCCTCATAATATGCTGAAAGTTCCAGATTAGATATTTTAGCTTTGCTATGTTGAAAAAAGAAGTTAACTGTTTCATTTATAATAGTATTTAAAATATCACAAAAACATAGAACACAGAACTGTTTATAACATTACATTCCTTTTAGAAAATTGCTATAGATTAGGGCTTGATTTTTTTATAAGGGCGACATCTACACACGAATAGAAGGAACAAAAAAAAATGCCTGACGTTGAATATTACGTAAGTTTAGTAGTTCCTATGTTATCTGCTAGATGGTAGTACTTACTTACTTAAAATATTGTCACTGACAATTATTACAAGAATATTCATACTCTTACGTTATTCTGCATGATGATGACTATATTATATTACTTCATCTGCAAAAAGCTACACTTAAGAGCGCAAAATCGGATTAATTGAATTTAAAGTTGATTTTTTATACGAATATGGAATTGGAGGCAAAGTTGTGCAAGAGTGTTGGAGCGTCTCTGCCTGTAGGATATCAATAATGTTTAATAATATAGATGATACATGTCAATACTGCGCAGTGTTTTAAGATTGTGTAGCTTTACGTTTGTAAGTGTATGTGACAGATCTTGTAGAACGTATGATACGGAAAGAGATAGCAGTCTATATTATAATAACAATCTAACTACACCAACTGATATATTTTAAGTGCTCCAGTTTCTGTGCCTAGTGTCACATCTACCTTGTCTTTGTATACAGTTACATTGCATGGAAAGTGGTGTCTGCCTGCATAATAGGCTCGAGTGTTATGAATGCATGTAGATTTATGTGTACTGTACGAGGTGCGTATAGCAGCGGGCCAGCTGATATCAGTGATAGCGACCTGTTGGCGGGCGCGTGGCGCCTCGGGCGGCGGCGCGGCGCCAGCGAGCGCGCGTCCGCCGCCGACTCCGCACTGGAGTCTGTCACCGCCCGGAACGCCTCTTCTGCAGAAAAAGGCAACTTGCGACCTATGCACGTCCCACTGCTGGGCGAAGGCCTCCTCTGTACAGAGGGTGTTAGGGCATGGTACACCACGCGACCCCGCTGCAGATTGTTGACTGCACGTTACTTTGAAATAGTTTTTTGTTATCACGATGTTTTCCTTCACCCCTGAGCATGTGGTAAGTCAGCACTTAAAATTAATACTTTCATTGGTATCGGCATCGGGATTTGAACTCAAGCTACTAGAGCATATTGAAATAAAAGCGAACGCCTGGACTCGTACATATCACGGCAATATCAATGACAAAATGATGTGTGCGTCTCACAGTGGGTGGCATAGACGAATTTCGGTTTTCGTACTGTCTCTGTACTGTCTAACAAAACTAAATAAAATCTTTTAAAAAACAACCATTCTTATTCAAAATTTACCAACTTAGTGCTCAGTGCTCATTCTATTTCTTCTGGTGACAATTTTCTAACCACCAGAGAAGAAAGGTACAAAATAAATATATCAAAGTCAATATTTTACACCGTTACTGTTAAAAAGAAAAACCAAAAGATTGATTCATCATCATAATCATTTCAGCCTGTAGGCGTTCACTGCTGAACATATGCTTCCTCTAGGGATTTCCACTTCGATCGGCTTGAAGCGGCCTGCATCCAGCAAAGACCCGCGACTTTGGACAGGTCGTCAGTCCATCTCGCGGGTGTCTGCCCCACACTGCGTTGATTGATTAACCAATTATCATCATTTCAGCCTGTTTGTGCCCGCTGAACAAAGGCCTCCCACACAGACGATCCTGAGCTACTACAACCCGAGGATTGTATTAGCTCAGGAGTCGAAAATCCTCACTTGTATAGCTCGTCAATCTAATGGTTCACACAACGATTAAAGTTTTGACGGAAGTCCAAAATGTTATTTCAATCATATGTGTCACCTTTGGCCGGCACAAGGGGGCGCCTGTATGCCGCGGCGCCGCACTCGGCGCACGGCGAGCCGCTCGAGTCAGAATCGGACTCGGACCGCCGGACGGTTAAGGTCATCGCTCGCGATAGACCGTACTCGTCTGTATTATATACGTTTGATTAGAAGAAAAGTTTAACAGTTCTCCTTATGACTTAGCATCGAAACTTGTAAATTTAACTTCGAGATTAGCTATCAGGTAATTACATCATTTGTATTTTATCTGCCGCTTTTTTGTTGAAGATCCACGTTTGTGAACCGTATGACAAGCAAGGTAGTAAACATCCATCCATAACTTTCTTAATTTTATGTTCAGATTAAAATTGTCTCAAATCTCTCATCTTTGTTTCTAGATTGAGAAAAGAGATGGATTTCCCTAGGTAAACGTAGCTGTACTGAGTATTTTGAGCTCTGTAAATTGCTAACTTGTATAGGCTGTTTCATTTCAGCATGTCGCAAGCAAGTTATGACTTTAGTTTTTGGTTCTGTTTAATTGTAGTCGTATCTGTTTTTAGTTATATCTGTTATTTATTTTGCATAGTTCTGGTATCATTTCTTCTAATATTGAGTTTTAAAATATTTACAAGCGGTGGTTATCACTTAACATCAGGTGAACCGCCAGCTAGTCCACCTTCTCACATAAAAAAGACATCGCTAAAAGTTTGCCGATTCGAATAGTTTAAAGCAGACTGTTAGAGTGTGACCACGCCTGTCCAAGAACCAAACGGTAGCGAAACCCGAAAGCGGAAGATCGCTTCAGTAGCGGATACCTAAGCAGTCTTCCCCAGATAACTTCAGTGGCGGATACGGAAGCAATGTTGTAGATCAAGAGCACAAGGCCACGGTACCGGTGTCGGGCGGGGGCCGGTGGCAGTGGGGCCGCCGCGGGGGAGCTGCGCCGAGCGGCGGGGGCTCCGCACGGCCGAAGGTGCGCAGCGTGCCCCCTCCCCCCGCGCCCGCCCCTCCCTCGCCGCTCGCCTCGCTCGCCGGCCCGCTGGCGCCGCCCGCCATGCTGAACGTCGCGTACGGGCTGATCTCGTACATCTCTACGACCAGTTTAAAGTGAACAGTGAAGTGGCCGCCTGTGTACGTGCCACTGCTGGGTAAAGGCCTCCGCTGTACAGAGGGTAATCGGGGTAGGTCCCTGCGTCGGCCTCACAACGTATTGGCGGACTGCACAGATTTTCGAAACATTTTATGTTTTGTTATTTCCGGCGCTCTTACTTCATTGATGCTTGTTACTCGTACTTCAGATTCTCTTAGTATGGATCAAAAATAATTCATCTCAATGTTAAAAAACATAGTTTTCATTTTATCATTATTACAATTAAGATTTATATGTTATTATGACTTTTATTCAGTCTACTCACTTGTTAGGTTCACTATTGAACCAAACAGCTATGTTTGAACTTTTTATCTAAAGTCCATCAATACGTTGTAAGCATTAAAATATACCGCGACAAACAGTCAGTACGGTCATCAAACAAACCACGCGTTCTCAAAATATCATACCCAATTACCATATCATAAATATCATATAATCAGTATAATTTTAACTATATCAATTTTGTAATAAAGTGTTCTATTGGCGCTGGCAACACTGTACACTGGATATGACGTTATCTACTCGAGCCAAAGGACACATGATCGCATGGAGCAGCGGTCACTTGGATTCCGGCTGCGTTCCCGGACGGTGATATAACCACTAGTGCTGCTTGTCGTTATAATATTTGTTAATATTCACGTTCAATAATAGTTAAAATATTAGGATCAAGGTAAAATCGTTAGAACTCTTATAGTTCTTCAGTTCTATTATCATTTATATCATCATAACCGGTGTTAGGAGTTAGCCCCAACATCACTTCTAATTTTTTGGAAAAAAATAGGATAAGACATTTTTTTTTTATTTTCCAGCCCTCTTTTTATTTTTTTTGTACCTTCTTTAAAATTCGTATCAATATATATATATATATATATATATATATGATCTAATATTTACAAGATTAAATCTATCTAAAATTACATATTATCTAATAAACCTAATCCACGCGGCATGGTGCCAAGAACGCTAGCTGCATTTCCTCGCTGAATAGTTATGCTTAACCTTTGCGCGAGAAAAGAACCAGCTCTCTTGTCACCAGCCGCGGCGTTAAGCCTAGGACATAAACTTTTAAAAAAAATTGTTGTGCGGGGACCCCACGGACCTAATGTTTCAACAGCAAATGGCACAAATATATAATCTGAACATAAAGACTCATATTTGCGCCGTTTACTTACTTCAGCTGCCTCCGATGCCGCCCCGGCCCTGACCGAAGTACCCCTTAGATGAGAGGCAGCCAAAGTGTCTACACAAGTGGCGTCCCAAACAAGGGCTTTGCCTCTCTCCCAAGGGATCAATGTTAAACCGTCGGGTCTCTTACCATCGTCGCGTAAAATGCCACAGGGCTCTAAGATAGATGGAACATTGATGGAAACAAGAGCCCTACGGATGATGTCGTTCAGGGAACCGTGGCGAGAAAAACGGCCAGCACTTTTTTGACAAGAAAGCCCGTGGAGACCAAATTTGTCTACACTGACACCACAAGGGCATTTATTTATTTTTATTTATTTTATTTAAAAACTTTATGCACAATAACGTACAATGGCGGACTTAACACCATTAGGTGTTCTCTACCAGTCAACCGACAAATAAGCAGAGAGAATAAGGAGGTGCGAAAGAGCCAGATGAGATAGTAAAGAATATGATAATATATAAAATATTACATACATATTACATAAATATACACATATACTAATATATATATATATAGCTACTACAAATATATATATACATACATATATATACACATATACATATATATATAATACAAATATACATACACAAATGTATACATACCCATATAGTATTAGATATTTTAGAATAATGTCAAGAAGTGGAGATTCAAGCAAGTCAGTGTTCAACATTGTCGATTATCTAAATAAAATTTAAAGACAGCACGTTTAAAACTCTCTTTAGTCAGACAATTTCTGATTGAGATGGGTAGCGAGTTCCAGAGCCGTACAGCTTGACCTTGAAAGGAGTTGGACATAAGGCGGGAACGATAAAGAGAAATATGAAGGGAGAGATTGTGATCAGAGCGAAGGTTGCGAGAGTGAGCATCAGATTGGAAGGAAAATTTTTGTTTCAGATAGTTGGGAACGATGGGATCAAAGAGGATAGAAAATAGGGTACGAAGAATGTGACTGTTTCTACGCTCGCGAATCTGCAACCAATTTAGCTGACTTCGAAAATGGGAAATGTGGTCAAATTTTCGAAGTCCATATATGAACCTTATACAATTATTTAGGAGTTGGTCAAGCTTATTAAGAAGATCCTTATTTGCATCCGAGTAACAAACATCAGCATAATCAATTATCGGCAGCACCAACGTCTGTACCAGTAACAGTTTAGTGCACGAGGGGAGAAAATACTTATAGCGGAACAGACATCTTAGTGTATTATTCACCTTACAGCAAATATTTGTAACATGAGATGTCCACGATAAGCTGTTGTCAATAATTAGCCCTAAGTTTTTAACTTGTGGTGAGAAAGGTATACATGTGCCATTAAAGACAACAGGTGAAATAAGTTTGTGGTCTAGTGAATTTATCCGATGAGAACTGCCAATAATGATTGCCTGACACTTAGATGGATTTACAGCGACGCCAAACCTGTTTGACCAGTCCCGAATCTGGACCAGGTCAGCGTTAATGGCTGCAATAGATTTGTTGAGCTCGTCAATAGTTCCTTGAACATATAGCTGCAAATCATCAGCATAAAGATGGTAAGAGCTTTTCAGACGTAGAGTGATGAGGTCAATAAAAATACTAAAAAGTAAGGGAGAAAGGATGCCCCCTTGCGGGACACCAGCAGTCAGGTCTGCCCAATCGGAGATATTTCCATCAGAGCGGATGGCCTGCTGGCGTCCGCGTAGATAGGAAGAAAACCATTGCTGGGCTGAAGAAGAGAGTCTGAAATGATTAAGGACAGCAAGAAGGATATCGTGATTGACAGTATTGAAAGCATTAGAAAAATCAATTAAAACTAAGATTGTAAATTTAGCATCCTCTATTCCTTTCCTGACATCGTCCACAATTTTCAACAGTGCAGTAGTAGTGCTATGACCAGCCCGGAAGCCGGATTGAAACTCGTTTAAAATATTATTCTTGTGGACGAAATCAGAAAGTTGTTTATGGACGATAGCTTCAATAATTTTGGATAGATAGGGAAGAATACTAATGGGTCTATAATGAGAAGGTAAAGAGGGAGTTGCAATTTTGGGAATTGGTGTTACAAAAGCTTTACGCCAAATATCAGGAAAAGCACCAGAGGTAAGAGAGAAGTTAATAATGTGGGTTAAAATGGGAAGGATTTGATCCATAATACGAACAATCATCGTTCGACTGATGTTGTCGTACCCAGTCGCATTCGATTTGATTGAAAGTATAGTTTTGTGGACTACCATAGTTGTTACAGGGGACAAATCAAAAGGATCAATATCTGGAACAGGCATGGAATTAATTAGTGAAATTGTGGAACTCTTGACAACATTCGTGAGAGAAGGGACAGACGTAAAGAAAGAATTAAGGTCGTTGATAGGTAATTGGAGAGGTTGCGTCAAAGGTTGAGTTCCGAAGCCGAGAGAATTGAGAAACTTCCATATTTTAGCCGATGAAGACTGGAGAACACCAGCATGGATATGTCGTCGTTTCGCAGCCCTTACCATCCTGTTACAACGATTTCTGGCAACCTTAAAAGCTGACCAAGTAATCTCACACCGGTTTTTCTTAAAATTTCGGAAGGCTCTATCACGCTTAACCATGGCTGCACGGACGTCAGGAGTAATCCAAGGAGCCGCGGGCCGCCTGATGATGACACGTTTATATGGTGCGTGCAGGTCATACAAAGCCTGAAGAGAGCTATTTAGATCAGAAAGCTTTTCATCTATTGAAGTATGGTTTAGCGTCGCAGTCCAGTCAATCAAGGCAGCGTCACGGCATAGCTCATCGTTATTGAGTTTGGAAAAAATGCGCTTGTACAGAACAATTGGCTTTGTTTTAGGTGGCTTAAGTTTATACGACACAAACAGTAGGTCATGACGAGAGAAACCTGGAGCGGACAGTTGTCCATGTTCCGCAACATAGTTGGGAGAAGAAATAAGAATAATATCAATCCAAGAATCAGCTGTATCTATGTTATGATAAGTAGGATCCAAGGGAAGTATAGAAAAGTTGACAGAAGTAATAAGTGTATGGAACTTCTGTGTACGAACGTTCTTAATTAAGAGGTTAGTATTAAAGTCGCCCATGATAATGTGATGCTTGTACTCCGAAGCCACAGGGGAAAGAATAGCTTCAAGTTGATTAAAATAGTCGATAGAAGGTGGACAATATACTACACCTAGAACTGCTTTGGAGCCACGGAAATTGATTTCGAGGAGGATGTATTCAGGAGAAGAAGAATATGGAGATGGAGAAACAGACAGAGTTTTGAACTGAATATCACTACGCAGATAGATCGCCACGCCCCCGCCACCTTTTCCAGTGCGGTCATTCCTTATGAGTACAAAGCCAGGTAGACCATAGGAGGTGGATTGTAAAGATGGTTTAAGCCAGCTCTCAGATACTAGTACTGCGTGAAGAGAAGAACAATTAAACGAATCAATAAGATCGGAGTAATGTTGAGGAATACTTTGGGCGTTAATATGGCAAATATTGAAGTTATTGGAGTAATTAGAAAATTTTTCAGCAAGACTTGAACCTAAGGATAGAGAGTTGTCTGAAGCACAAGAATATTCTAAAGAGGAGTCTGAGTCGAGAGCAGTGAAATAGGACCCATGACTTGACATAACTATATAAACAAAATAAATAAACTAATATAAATAATTCGACAATACAATAATAATACAATTAAAATTACTTAATATTACATAGCTATCCACCGGTTGACTGTTTACATAATCAAGTATAATCAAAATACCCTTAACCTAGAAACTTATGAACTAAGGTCAATTTAACAAAACAAAGTAAAAATAAAAATAAATTTTCGTATGAAAAAAAATCGTCATGTAACATGTAGGTATTCTATAGCTGTTATAATTAAAAAAAAAAAAAAAAAAAGAAATAAAAAATAAAAAATAATTAACCGATACCTTAAAGCCAACAATGATGTTAATTATTGATGCGGTGTGATTGACAAATCGGTGCCCCCAGACGGATTCCTACAGCAATGCGTAAGCTTTCATCGTCAAGTAATGTGCCCAAGTTACTTGATGGTAAAGCGTGAAGCCAATAACTCGATTCTTTAGATGAGACTCCTAGGAAACGGGCACGCTCTAAATTACTTTCTAAAGATTGAAACGTATCTCTCTGTACTCTCCGCACCAAAGGAACATCCCACTGTTTTTGTAGGTTTACTTCCAGTGGGATATTTTCGTTGGGACAGATAGACAGCCAAGACATCCTTGCCTCCTCTGCATAGGAAAGTTCTGAATCGTGATTAAGAATGTTATTACATAAATTATTTACGCTATGCACGGAAGCAAGGAAGGCAGGTAGAGCGACACTAGAAATTTTCCTTACACCGATACCACCAAAACGAATTGGCAGCGTAGCTTGAGTCCAGCTTAATTCATTAAGAGATAAATTTAGAATTTTTTCTAGAGCTGATTTAAGATGGAAATCAATTTCGTTCAAAAAGTCACCGCATTTCCAAACTGGACTCGAGCGAAGGAGGTACGTAAATTTAGGTACAAGAATACAATGTCGCAAAATAGTAAGCGCAATATGCGAATTTAGTAAAAACAATTTATTGACATGATCTATATATATATATATATATATATATATTATCATTATTTAAACACAATAGCTTATCGCACACTGATGGATAAAGCATTAATGTCCGATGAAGTTTCCAATTCTGTAACCATACTAAAATTGGTGGAGAGAATTGGTGACCCAGAGAACTATTAGTAATGGAAAAAAATATCAGAGCGTACATAATATTACATTCATAACTGACCTTGTTGTTCTTTTTTACCGAGGGGATGTTTGATAGGCGACGAAGTGTACACTTGTTGGCAGTTGCGGCGGTTGTCTCGTTTCTCCACTGACTTGTCTTCTTCCTCCGTTATTCCGCTCTGCACGTAGCCTTTTCTAATGCACGTCTGCGAGCTGCTGGAATCGCAAATAATTTGTTGATCAAGACCCGTGTTCTCTCTTCGGAGAGAAAAATATTAAGATTTTCCCCGTTGGTCTATTATATTACATGTTTTCGTTTCCTTTTTACTCAATTTGATCGGGAAATTAACGTCATCATTCGTTATATCTGTATACATATATTAGCACTACGATGAAATATAATTGTTAAAATATCTAATTTCTAAAAGCACAATGCTAATTACTGTTAGAGACCTTTTTTTTTCAAACTTTATATGTTAAGCGTGACGTGGTAATAAATTCTTATATTTACGTGACTAGGGCACATGACTAAATGAAAGGATTATAACGGATTTATCACGTTAATATTAACTTTGATTACTGACGTTCGTATTCATGGTCACACTACAGTATAGAACGTTAGATGTCTGAATCTCATAGTTAACCTCTGCTACCGACAGTTTACTGCAACTGATTGGATATTAAACGAGAGAGAGAGAGAAAAAGAGGGAGAGAAAGAGGGAGAATGTGATTTTATTAACAACCAAACATTCAGCTTAACATTACCTTCGTTTGTACGCCAAGGCCGCGAGCACTATGATCGCAGCCAGTAGTGCGGCGGCTGTCAGAAGCAAAGCCAGTCCACCGCCCCCGCCAATGGTCATGCCCTCCCCGCCCGGTGGGAATTGTTCGGGCTGTTTTATCCGCTCTGTGGGAAATTTCATCACAACCAAGGCATCAGATGCGTTCAAGGTCCAATTGATCCAGGGAAACACCAAAATTGGTTTTCAATTTTGATCTGCGTAGAGATGATATAAGAAAAAAGAGTCTACCAAATTGTATACGTATCTTATCGCTTTTCTAGCGATTCGACCTCGGCCCATTAAATTGAAAAACCTTTCCTGATCGTTATATGTATTTGCACACTAAAATCTACTAACTTCATTGTCAATCTTATACTTTTTACCTTTTACAGAGTTCCTAACTCGACTGGATCGAAAACTGTAGCGTCTATTAAATGCTTATGTTACATGATAATGATGTTAATTTTAGTACATGGTCAACAAGCTTTAGCACTGCTGGATTTGAACCTGCGTCTTCCAGTTGACACGGTCAGACGCTTTAGCTAATCTAACATCTTTCTGCCGTTTGAGCAGTGATAGCCTTTAATTCAATATACTCGAGCAACCTGAGTTCGATCCCCGGTGCCGGCACCAATGAAGTTTTTAACTTTAAGTGCTGACTTATCATGTGCTCCGTGGTGAAGGAAAACATCGCGAGGAAACCTACATAATTTCTAAATAATAACAAAAAAATATATATATTTTTAACATATGTGAAATTCGCCAATCCGCAGTGGGGCCGCGTGGTGGACTATGCCCTGATACCCTCTGTATAGAGGAGGCCTTTGCCCAGCAGTGGGATATGTACAGGCTGTTTAACATCTTTCTACTTTCACTGTATGATTTTAAGCCGAGTATGGAAAATAAATAATATCTTATCCTTTAAACGAGCAAAATATATATATATATACACACAATAATTATATATCGATACCTTAATTCGCAAACCAGCTAACTCCACCTTTGGTCAAAAATGTTTTTTGGCTTTGATTGTACGCAATAATAATTCCGCGTGATTTGCAAAAACAATAACTCCGATATAATCACTATTTCTTTCTATAAATCGCTATTCGCAAATCAGCCAACTCCGCATGTCACGGAACGTTACAATTTTAACAGCCAACTCCACCAAGTCGGCTATTTCGTATGGCGTCCGAGTCATGTACGGATACCGCCCTACGTTATTTGGAAAAATAATTATATAAACGCAACAAAAGGAAAGGTAGTGTTGAAAAAAATTGAACATTAATACACAGTATGGATACTTTTTTTATTTCTTACAAAACAGTGCTAGGTAATTGAGCAATTCTAAAATTTAATATTGGCTTTGAGTTGGCCGGTTTGCTTCTTACTTTATTACGCTACGGTTGGAAGTTATACATTTTATAGTTTATGAAACATTAAAATTAAATTTGATGATACCAATAAACCTGACTCTTTTCTGATTCTTAATAACCAATTTTCTAAACCCTACGACGCTTTGGTTGTACACTTGAAAAGAAAAAAACAAATTTTTATTTAAAATAAATCTATGAAAAAAACCAGCTAACTCCCAGATCACATACTTTTGCACCAAAGAAAAAACGGATAACTCCTAAAAAACGCTGTAGTATGGTAATGAAAATTTATAATGGATTTTATAATATCAAGAATGACAATTTACGATAATATCTACCAACTATATTTTAGATTTTCTCGTAAGTACTCTAAAAAAAATATTATACAGTTTTACGTGTCTCCTGTAAAACTTGCCCATATGGAGTTAGCTTGTTTTCCAATTAAGGTATCGATATACAATTCCGAGATTCCGATTATATATATATATATAGATATATATATATGTATAATATATATATATATATATATATATATATATATATATATATATATATATATATATTTATATAATCGGAATCTCGGAAACGGCTCCAGCGAAGTTAAACTAGCTAAAGTTATACTAGCTCGGTCGGTAATTGGGCGGCCCTAAACAGACGGCCGCGGTTCGTATCACGATCATTTACACACTTATTTTTTTACTTTTTTTTCGATTCCAGATCATTGCTCTCTTTATCTTTTATTTTTTGTCGATTCCTTAAATTTGTTATTTTTTTCCTTTATTTTTAAAGTTCTTTCTTTTGTGAAAAACACCAGTTCATATTTTCTCATTATTACGTCGGTAAGATCGAAAAATGTTATGCATATTTCATTACTCAGTAATTTTTATCTAAATGTAATTTCCAAAATACACTATTTACCAAAAAAAAAAAAAAAAAAAAACCTCCTCCAGGTCCTCCAGGTTACAAAATTCCATACCTCCATTCTCTGTTAAAGTGGAGAAATAGTAGGTGGCCGTCGTAGTTCCAGCCGAGCTGGTCGCGACGACTCTCAAATGGTACCAAGTGGCGGCGAGGAGTTCGCACAGCGTCAGCGGCTGAGGTTCCAGTTCCACGGTCTCCGTGCGCCAAGACGACTCTTCGAAACCTGGGAAAACATGTTTTTCGATTAGTTACGTAATATTTTTTAGAATACAGGATAATCAGTTATGATGTGTAGGAGCTAACCCAGTTAGAGCTGGTAACGCGTCTGCAACTATCTGCGAGTTTCAGAGCTCCACTTGCATATGCAAGTTTCTTTCATCAGAGTTTATTTATTGTAAAATATAACGAAATGTATATGAAAAAAACGATAAAACGTTTGACGACTTGATTGCTGCTGCGGATAGTAAAACTGTCTCTGACGGTTTTACTATCCGCACTACTCTCTACCGGTAACATATATTGTGATGAACACGATATTTTTCTTCTTTGTGGGTGTTGAGGCTCTATTAATGTTTTTTATTTATTTTCAAGCAAGGCAACGCATGTAGTAGGAGTATATAATTTGTTCTCATTTTTACCTTTAACAGATATGACGAATTGGGTCATCGGACAACCGTTGCTATCCCATGTCAGCAGGTTGAGACGAATGCAGCTGCTATTTGTCGTAAAGAGGTTTTTTTCGACAGCTGGTTTTGATGCTGCAAAAAATGTGAAATTATAAATTAGTATGGTCATATGTTATTCATAATCGCTTTTAATCCAATATACTCGAGAAACCTCTGTTCTAATTTTGTGATGAAATTGTAACTTGCAATTTTAAGATCACCTGCCCATCCGTGAGGAAGTTGCATATTCTTTGCATATTTGTTGTATGTTGTGTAGTCTGTTAATCCGTAGTGGGGTGGCGTGAATTATATCTATAAGTACAGGCTGTTAATCACAAATAATTACAGACATTAATTATTAGTGTTATAAGCACCTTCAAATACAGATTATTTTTATTTACTGAATGTTATTTTTTTTTTATGCGAAAAGTTGCCAAACGAGCGAACGGGTCACCTGATGGTAAGTGAATACCGCCGCCCATGGACATCTGCTACACCCGAGGGTTACAGATGCGTTGACAACCTTTTGAAAATTGGGCTCCGGCTACCTCACTCACCAGACGAAACGCGCTGTTTACGCTGGTCTTTTGTGAGGTCGTGGTACTTACCCGGACAGGCCTGCCCGTTCGTGCAACAGCCGAGGCTGCTGCGTAGCTTTACCACCGTGAAATTTAAATTAAAGTTTAAATATTACATTAAAGATTAATTATGACAAAGAGTATGCTCTTATGGTATACACTGATTTGTGAATAAATACATTAACTTCGCTTTCGTCGGCATCATTTAGTTTATTCGTGTGTTATAACGATCGACACCACCACCTATTCCTAGCCACTTATCAAAGCTGATAAGCTTTCATCGTCCAATTCGCAGCTTTGCTTTCGATACTCAACGGATCGCCGATACCGCTCAGGGAGCTTACTACCAGGCGCCCCGCTTGCTCGCTTGCTGCTTGTTCCATGAAAAAGAGGCGCGGTACTCACGGCCGCCGCTGGTGCTAGCCGGCAGCTCGGCGCTGGGCGGGGAGGCGCCCGCCGAACTGTGGGCCGTGAGCCGCACGCGGTAAGGAGCTCCGCAGGCCAGCCGCCGCAGCGCGTGGCTGCGCGCGCCGCCCGCCACCCACGTGGCGCGCCACGACGCCTCGCCATCCGCCCCACGCGTGTGCTCCAGCGTGTAGCCTGTGCGCTCATTTGTTTTCAGAAAAGAAAGCAACAGACACGATCGTTGTCGGTTCGGGTAAAGCTTACGCACCCTGTTGTGTCTCAGGGGCCGATTGTTTGCATCCCTTTAAGACGGCATATCCCTAATCGCGGCAGCAGTGTTAATAGGGCAGGTATGTTATTGTCGTGTATTATGAAAGGAAATAGTTTCTAAATACACGGACAGGGGAAGGAGTGGGAATAGTACCTAACAACTAGAGTTAGAATGGAAGAGTGTAGGACCACTAGGGCCAGTTTTCCCCGGGGCCTACCCTGGTAGAAAGAGGTTTCGTCGGTACGAGCGCTTGTCCGGTGGACGAGCGTGTAGCGGCGCCAAATTGTTTAAGTGTGTGTGTGTGTGTGTTCCGCTCGAGGCGAGCGCTGATCGATTTGCAGACCGTTGCAGTGTGCTACTACCCTACTATCTTCCTTAAATTCTTTTGACAGTTTTTGAGGTCCCTTGTAGTGGAGCTATGATGACATAAACATACATTTGATTGTATAAAATAGTTTCTGTACTAAGGCTACACGACAGTCTTCGTTGTTGCACGAACGGGTAGGATGATCCGGGGAAGTACCACGACTTTACTGAGAACCGGCGTGAAGTGAAAGTAACACACTTTTGCGTTTCGTTCACCTTTAAAAGGTGGCTCGTTTGTCACTGTCTAACATAGATGCGAACGACGCACTGTGGACATGGTGCTGTGCCGGCGGGGCGTCCCAGGCCAGCAGCAGCGCGTGCGGCGCGGCGGCGGAGAGGCGCAGGCGCGGCCGCGGCGGCGGCAGGCGCACCTCCACCTCCCAGGAGCCCCTCTCCTCGCCGCCCGAGCCGCGCACCGCGCACGTGTAGTTGTCCGACAGGCTCGACTCCAGCCCTGGACGGGTACGACTTTCTCAACAACATTTGGAATTTAAGCAGTTGCTCCTTTTGGAGATCGAAAGCCACCATGTCTAAAGGACGTTTTGGTCGTCATCTTGGCATCTTCTGGTGTTAGAAGAGTTTGATATGCGTATAGAGGGTTTCCAGTCTACAGTGATTATCAAATGAGAGAAGAATTCGTATCCTACGTTATGACATTAAAGAATTTACATTTATACAATAAACGTCGCACGTAAAATAAGGACATCTGCTTAAAATGCTGATGACTCTGTGGCACCATTGCCAAGGTTTTAACTTCAGCATTGAGGTTTTGTAGGTTCGATTCTCACACGGAATAAATATTTGTGTGACTTAAATAAATGGTTTGGGATCTGTTTGTTCACGTGAAATTTAGATAAACGTCCTTACAAGACAACACAATCTTAATCTACAGTAATGGCAATGCGTTTTAAAACAAAAAGAAAAAAAAAGAAGATAATATTTTTAAATATCTTGCCTTTACTACTTCACCACCATGTATCTTCATATACAGTCTTTTACTGGCCACAAATGAAGTATGTTTCTTAACTTTGGAATTATTTTTTAACAGAGATACATTTTGCTATGGGTATTCCTTATAGGAACGTAGTGTAAACTTACTCAATGTTTGTCAATTGTAATTGTAAAACGGCCGGATTATTGCCTCTTCAATCTAGATATCTAATGCATCAAACTTGTCCTATTAACACTAGAGATCAAGTGCAGTGGTGGTGCAAAAACACGTGATTCCGTTCTATCTCACGTGGAATGATGAGTCGGTGGGAATCGATGAGCAGGCGGCTGTCGGCGGAGGGCGGGGGCGGGCGGCGTCGGCTCCAGGTTCGATGCGCGACTCCTCCCGCCGTCCCGCAGGAGAGCACCACGCGGTGGCCCTCCGCCGCTGTTATCCGCCGCGGGAACGACCACAACTTCGACGGTGCTGTAGGTTCAATGACGCTATAGCTAAGTGCCTCATTTAAAGGTACGTACACGCCTATCCACTAGGTTCATTACTTTTGTTATGGCTACGGTTATTGAGTATACAACACGTTATCTGAGCGTAGTATGATGTTATCATTTAATGCGTTTGATTAGAATTAATGTATACATAATATGTTCACTTTATAATAAAAAAAAAAAAATTCTCTCATAATTTTTTCCAAACGCGCTTATGTATCCTTTTTGCGTCTAGCACATTATTAGGTTTACTATTATAATCTCAGCGAGCATTAAACTCCAAGTGATAATAAATAAAGGTGATAAGAAAAGAATTAATGGTTTGCATACCTCTGCCGCTCGGCTTTCTGACAACGATTGCACTCATTTCCCCCTCACCGGCCGACGTGGCGGCTGTCACCCAGAATTCATACAACAGATGCTCCTGCAGGCCTCGGACTTCCACGTGGTATTCCTCCTCGCCTTCCATATGGAGGACGGTGATATGTGAGTGCTGGCCTGTTCTGTCCGGATTTATATAGATAAGGTCTCTTATACTCTATGATGGTACTCTATTACTTAAGAAAAACACCCCTTAAAGAATTTAGACAAGATTAAGAGAAGTTAAATCAACCAATTTAGATTGGTTCATCAAACAGAAAAATTCGGTTTAATATGCTACCTTGCGTAAGCCAATTTATTTAAATTAATATTTTAAATAATTAAAAAGAATAAATTTTTGGAAATATAGAAATCATTTTAATAATCTAAAGAACGTATAACAATAAGAACTGGAATAAATTCATCGATATAGAAAATATATTTATTCTGTTCTATTTGTACACGCTTTATTTAAACATAATTTGGGCTATTGACATGGAAACTTGTTATATACCAATTCATAGTTATGTTATTTGACTGTGACACGTGTAATGGCTTATGTATTTCATATTGTTTTGAAATAAGAAGACCAAAGAATAATTTAAAAGCTAGTTGATGAAATTATGGAAGCTATTACGTAGTAAGGCCATACAAACCTTTGCGGTCGATTGTAAACAGTGTAATGGCGTATTTTTCCATTCTTCTGTGTAGGTGCTAGCCAGCTTACTATTACAGAGTTTTCCGAATTGGCAAGTGCTTTGATGTCTGCAGGTGGTCCGGGTACTGATGAATAAACAAAATAAATAGTTATACTTTAAGAATAGTAATTAATACTACTTTGCACCTAATGATGTGCACGTCAAGCTTTTTCAGTTTCAATCGTGCTAAGTTGATAATTTTGTTCCATAATTCCCAAATGTAAAAGGCGTAGAACGTTAGGCTCGGAAGTGGTTTAATTATTATCTATTGCAGTTACGATATCGCAAAACAGAAAACTAATTCTAAGACACGGTGATGATACCTACACTGAACTTATAGAAACACCAAACTATAAGACATAAAAAAATAGCAATTTAATCGTGGTAGGGCTACGCAACAGACTTCGCTGTTCAAGAAATAGGCGGGTAGGTGCGGGTAAGTACCACGAAGTTGTGGAAGTTGTATATTTTTGCTTTTCATCTGATAAGTGTGGTAGCCGTGGCCCACTTCATTATTAGGTGGCAACGTATCTGCAACTGTACGGGTGTAGCAAATGTCAATGGACAGCGGTTATAACCTAACACCAGGTGAACCTTGTCCCATCCAATGCATTTCTGCCTTTCGCAGGTCAACGTCCGGCACGTGTCACACAAACAGTATCAACGTTCGCGCATCGGGCATCACCGTCGTCGAGCGTGGCGCAGTAGGCGAGCGCGGGCGGGCCGGCGCCGGCCGCCGTCCTTGCCCGCACCCGCAGCGAGTAGTTGCCGGCTCGCGGCGCCGCCACGACGGCCTCGGAGCCGCCGCTGCGCCGCGTCTCTGGCACGGACTCTACGCCGGAGGAGCTTACCGCCTGCGGTTTTGCCATTCGAGGAGTCTTATCGCAACAGGATGTAACTGCGCGGTATATCAAATAATCATACTAATTGTATCAAATTCTTTGTGGTGTACAATAAAGTATATAATAATAATAATAATAATAATAATCACAAAAATAAGTGAAGGTCTGTGTAGCAGCGTAAGACCGTGAATCGGACGAGACTCGATGAAAGTCGAGATACAAAAACTAAAATTCGTTCTGATCCCGACACAGACGATTCGGGTTCACGCTCGATGAGGGCTCGGGACATTGAAAGGGCTGCTTAAGAAAATTCTTGGTTCATTGCCCTCCGTGAACTCACAGTGTCGCTAATTTACTATATTATTTAAAACACTTTAAAGGATTTTCGTGGACTGCAAAAACACTGCAATGACTCATACGAAGAAATACTGACACTCCATATTAAACGGGGAATTATTAATATTGATGTTCGTCAGATGAGTGACGTAATCGAAAAATTGTATTTTATTTTGGCGATATTACTTGTGGGTTTAGTTTTAATAGTTATAGGTTCATCATAAATTATATTTGAACTTCTAGTTAAATAACATAAAATAAAAAAGCTCTTAGAAATGAAAATCAACACTTTAATAAGAAATGCTTTCACGGGAACTTTTGTCCCTCAGTCTCAATAGTTTGATTTTTGTGCATTAATAAGAGATTCCATAAAGACATAATGTTGATCAATCTTGCCTGATATGTTATTTCATAGCCCAGTAGTAATCCACCGCGCTCCGCTACGGGTGGTGGCTCCCACCAGACCCTCAACGACTGAGCCGATAAAGGTTCACAGCGTACGTACTGTGGCGGCGATTCTGGTACTGCAGACAACATACAAAATTGATAACATAATAAAAAAAAATGGGTGCCTGTACTTATGCACGCGCGTGAGAAGTTATACTTCTTTGGTATTATTAAAAAACAGTTTTAAATTGCATGCAAATAATTAATTACAATAAAATAATAAAAAGACTGGAAAAGGATATATATAATAGAAATAATAAAATTATGAAAGCGCCATCTACATTCTTTATTGAGAACTGTAGCGGACGAATATGATTGAGAATATGCTGCCATCTATAAAAAAATAAGCGATTTAGTGGGCAGTTTCAAAGGTGTGACTTTTGTGTTACAGGTGCGCGCGCATCTTAAAATTTCACTCCCATAATTTTTTCATAACGCCTAAAGAAGTATAAATTAAAAAATAGACATTATTTACGTGTGTTAATTGCTATAGAACTCACCATCCTCCAGCGTAGCAGCGGCCAGCGGGGCAGACGGGGGCCCGGCGCCTACGGAGTTGAAAGAGCGGATGCGCACTTCGTAGCGCGCGTGCGGCCGTAGACCTCCGAGGCGCGTGCGCGTAGACGTCCACCCCGCTACGGTGAGGGCGCGCGAAGCGTTACTTCCGCGCCACCACAAGGCGTAGCCAAGCAACTCCCCGTTCCACGACTCTTGCGGCGGTGCCTCAATTTCAAAAAGTATCATTACTATATACTAACTCAGTAATAGTGAGCATTCTATAGAGATGTATTAAATAAAACGTAGGTAGATGCCTAGATTCTCATTCTGAGACGTTTTTGGACGCTTAGCTTAGTAAAGCGTCTGAACGCAAAAACGTAAGACGCATGTTCGAACCCCACAGCGCCAAAAGTTTTAATTCATAATATTCAAGAATTCTCAATTTCATTTTTCTATAGTCTGCACTACAATAGTAGAAGAAAAATTAATACTAAAAATTTTAGGAACACTTGCTCATCAGCCGTGGGTACATGTACCATATTTTAAGTGATATATCACTGAGAATATAATTTTGATACTACTACTACTGACTAACTAACTTTTGAACACGGGCGCAGGTCACAATTCCGTATATATTACCTTAACAGTAGAATAGATAAAAAAAATTAAATAGTCTTTTTACTTATTATAATAACAGTTACCTGCCATTTAACTAGTAATTCCCCAGGTGCGTCGGCTTGTATTTCTATATTGCGTGGTGGTTCTGATGGTTCTGAAAAATATAACTATAAGATATTACATCTCGTCAGTACATTTTATATTACTTTCGAAATCAAGAAAGTTATTTATATTCATGACGAATTTAATTATTTCCTGCATTTTTAATGATTAACAGACTTCATAATGACTTCATAATGAAAATTGACGCAATTACTGTACAAAAATCGAGCACTGTAGAAAATGAATCTGACTAATGTAATATATATTTTATATATTATTTTACAATAGAATAGTAACTAAACTCACAATGAATTCACGAAGCATTCAGTAGCTAAAACATGAAGAATTAAGGAGTGATGATTGTCAGGATAGATGCAGTGCAACATTACTTATGTCTAATTTAATAATTTAAGTAACCAGACTAAAATATAATAAACAACAAAACAGGAGAAACTGAATACATGAGTGGTCAAGTTTCACCTTCCTCCAGAGTTTGTACTATAACAGAGTCCGAGTACTCGCTGTCTCCAATATCGTTAACTGCGGCTAAGCGTAAGGCATAAGCGGTAGCGGGCCGAAGACCGTCTACTCGATATTCCAAGATCACTTCAGATTCAGGGTCATTAGAATCTTCTTGCCTGTAATAAAAAATCTTGTGATTATTTCTGAAAACAGACGCCTTATTATGCTGTGGCATAATTGAAAATACGGTAAAATTTCAAATAAATTATAGCTCAATCATAAAATTATAAGACTATTTATTTATTGCGTTCTTATAACTGATACAGCATCACTCTGTCATTTTTCTTGCATTAATTTATTGATTCCATGCTATTTATAAAATTGCCACTTTATTGATTTGAAGACTAGACACAAAAAAATAATTAAATGTTGATCATGATCGATCGGTATCGTAGTATACCGGGAAAGAACACTGAGGTCAGAAGGGCTATCTACCTCCGCAGCAGCGAATCGGGCGAGAGCTCCCTCGTGGGCGCGTCCGTCCAGTCGGCCTGGGCGTGGGCGGGGCGCGGCGCGGCGCCCACCACGCGGAACTGCAGGCGGAAGGCGCGTAGCCGCGCGTTGCCGTCGTAGCCGAGGCGCCACGCTACGCGCGCCGCGCGCGACTCCCGCTGTACTACGGCGAGGCCGCGCGGCGCTTCCGGGAACTCTACGGCGTAGCAAGTTACACATTAATTGAAACACTACGACGGGCCGTAGCAAATACGTTCCTAATGTTTTATCACTCAAAAATAAATTGTAATATTGAAATTTTGCCAACATGCCACATTTTTTTAAGGGAACCGGTGGTTTAAAAGTTGTACTCAATATAAATAAGACAAAACTTAAAATATAAAGATCTTGAAATAATTACATGGATCATTATTTGATGGAATATTACACTTGTTATGTGTAATTATAAATTTAGTATTAAAATTTTCTAAAATATGATATGCCTACCTGAAATTCAACCAGAAATGCATCAATGATCAGATCATTATATCCTAACATGGCATTAAATGAAATGTTGACAATCTCGTATTTTAAGACGAGTAAATTAAAAATGTGATATCTCAATATCCAGTTGCTCGTCTTCAATTCGTACAATGTAAGTAAGGTTTATTACGTACTCAGCAAAGAAAAAAAAACATCGTGAGGAAACCTACATATTTTCTAAATAAAAAAGAAAACAATTCAGAGATATTATATGAAGATAAGAAGAATTACGATTATTATATGAACTATGCGCTAATACTCTCTGTACAGATTAGGCCATTGCCCAGAAGTGGGTTTGTTTAGGGGTGTTAATTTAATTTCATTTCTAGTTAAAAAAATGTTCATTGAGTTAACAAACCTTGAACAGCTAGATATATAAGAAGTTCATCTCGACCATACGCATTTTCCGCTCTGCATCTGTACACACCAGAATCACGTCTCTGCGCGTGTGCAATGCTCAGCATGGAGCTGGCACCGCTGTCCGACCGCTTTTCCGATACTGAAACTCTAAAACATATTTAATCAAATTAATGGAAACATAAGATGTATTATAAATTTCAAATTAAAATGAAAAAAGACATAGTTGTTTTGTTAGACATTTGCTGTTGCACGAATGGGCAGCTCGGGAAAGTACCACGAACTCACAGAAGACCGGCGTGATCTGGTAACTGAACTAGCCGGGGTCCTCTTTATTAAAATATGGCAACGCAACTGCAACCTATGGATGTTGCAAATGTCCATGGGTTGGGTCCATCACTTAACATCAGGTGACCACCGGCTCGTTTGCCACCTTCTCAAATAAAAAATAAAACAGTTACTGGTTCAAAATTTAACTAGAATAGGAAGTCAACAAAGCAAATAGACGAATTATTAGATAAAAGTGCAGAAAAAAAGTGAATCAAGATCAGTTAAAAAAAAAGTTTAAGCAACTGGAATATACATGAGCATGATTGAAAATGCTCTGACTGATATTTAAATTTAGAACGCCACAGAGTTCCAAAGTATAATATCATATGATTAATTGTTTCTACGTTACGATACTACATATTTTGAGCATTTAACCATATGCCTGTGCGAGATAAACACTAAGTTGAACATGATAAGTTATTTTTTTTTATTACTTTCAACATATGAAGTGATGCCGTCAGGAATAGAATACTGGCATAATTTATTACTAGTGTTCTTTTGTAATCATAAATTTCAAGGTGTGGACTGCCTACATCTTAATTAAATAAATAAACTCACCTGTATGTGGAGAGGTCCAGTCGTTGCATGTTGTGGGTCCAATGCAGCTGGAGGGGCGGGTCGCCGCGCGCCTCGCACGAGAGGGCCGCGGCCGCCGTGCGTCTCACGGACATGTTGCGAGAGGAGAACTCGAAGTGGGCTGGCTCTGAGTTTCATTAATGTGAAGGTCAGTAGTTGTCGCCCAGTGGTAGTCGAAATTCGGACCATAATTAATTAAACGTTATGTTCTCCTTATTGATTAAATGTATTTTTATGTCCGTCTCTATATGAACAATAAGCGACCCGTGCCGGCTTCGCACGGGTACAATTATAATATTTTACATATAAACGTACTTCTTGAAGCACTTTATCTAGTAAAAAAAACGCATCCAGATTCGTTGCGTAGTTTTAAAGGTCTAAGCATAAACAGGGACAGACAGACAGCGGGACGACTTTTTATACTATGTAGTGATGTGTGGGAAATTTCATAATCCTCCATCCGTGCAATTTCCGTGAAAAGGGGTACAAAGTTTTTGCTTCATTATTAACCTATAGATTACGCTTCAAATAATTTACGGAAGTGTGAAATCTACTTGAAAAAATTAGACAAAAGCAATGGTCGCAGCAATTATAATTTTTTTATGAGGAAAGTTGCCAAACGAGCCGACTCACCTGATGGTAAGTGAATACCGCCGCCAATAGACATCTGCTACACCCGAGTGTGTCAGATACGTTGATAACCTTTTGAAAATTGGACTTTGTTTCGTGTTAATAAAAAATTTACTCGTTTCCTTTGCTCGAGTCTGCAGTTTTACATATATCGTTCATGTTCACTCAGAATTTGTTCATTCCCACTTAATCACAAGTACAATATCAGTTCCGCCGGCCACGCACCGTTGACGGAGACGGTGACGACCTTGGAGAGGCCTCTGCCGACCCCGTTCTCTGCGCGGCACATGTAGCGGCCCTCGTGCTCGCGCGCGGCCGCCGCGGCGCTCAGCGAGCCGTCGCCCAGCACCGCCCACGGCAGCTCCAGGCGGGATAGGGGGCGGAACTCGTTGCCCACAGCCCCTATAAGAACGAGTTGGATGTTTTCTTTCAGATAGTTCTTTTTTATGTGAGAAGGTGACGAGCGAGGTGGCCCTTGATCTGGTGTTAATAACTGCCGCTTATAGACGTTTGCATCGCCGTGCGTTGCCACTTTTTAATGACCTGGGGCCCGCTTAACTCATCACCGTACGAAACGCTGAGGTAGCACTTACACTTCACGGTCTTATATGAGCTGGAAGTACTTCATCTGACGGACCTGCCCATTTGTGCAACAGTCACACAATAGTCTTGACCCTACCACAATTTGAGTTCGACAAAACGCCCTTATTTCATCCCTTGGTGAAAATAAATAAAAAATAGAAAATAAAAAAAAAATTAGTAAAATAAAAATTTTCCATAAATCCAAAACAAAACAGAAAATAAGGGGAAGATTCATATTTTTCTCACAGCCAATGTCATTATATGCGTTCGTATTAAAAAAAACTAATGAGTAAGAGATTGGTTGGCCATGGTTCCTAGATAGGAGAAAAGGGGCCAATGGTGTGACTATCGATTCAATTTAACATTTACCTTGTCCTTTTAACCAAGTGATTTGAGGCTCGGGATATCCCTTGGTCGAACACTGTACAATGATTTGGGTGCCCAGCAAAGCGGACACATCTTGCGGCTCGTATACCCAAGACGGAGCAACTGGAATACAAGGTAATTTATGTTAAAATCCTGTTCGCTTCGAACGCTTTGTGCCATTTATGTCACAAAACTTTGCATCCATATTTTTAGTTAACAAGTTTCCATTACAATACTAAGTGCACTGACAATAAATTAGAAACATTTGTAAATTAACAAAAACTTTTACCGTGGAGAGATTCAAGCTTAGGTTCTCTCTATTGTATTTTTAGCAACAGTAATCAATAACATCATACTTATTAGTCTCATTGTCAATTTCTAATTTTATAGGGTAACATAACCATTGTAAAGGTTGTCACGGCACAATGACCTTATTATCATAGTACCTTTCACAGCTAGATGCGCGGTATGGTTTACTTCGGCGGCATTATTGGTGGCAACGCACGTGTATTCTCCGCTGTGTTTGGATGTGACATGTGAGAAAATTAAGAAGCTAAACTCGTCCAGAGATTTCTCTTGAACCTGAAACCATCACAGATGACGATAATATAAGGATATAACAGATATAAATATACACGTAGATATATAAGCAATAACAGACGATAGATACAAGACAGAACACAGAACAATAACTTTTAGGAAATAAAACGCTGTACTGTTACGAAAAAGTTGTTAAAATATTATTCGGAAGATTAAATTTGGTTTGAGAATATTTCTGTTTACCTGTAAATTCGACGGTATATGCTGTCCGTCTTTAAGCCACGAGAAGTAAACAGGTTTATCGCCGGACGTAATTCCACATAGCACTTGTATCGAACTTCCTTCCACTAAATCGGTCGGGAACGAAAACCCGGCGATCTTCGGGGGATCTGAATGTTTTACAAATTCCTTGTTAAACAATAAAAAATATAATTGAAAAAATTGATAACGTCTTCTTAGGTATGTCTGAATACTGAAAAGGCAGTGTAACGGTGTCATCCAAACGCATCCAAACTTCAGGAATAGTTAATTGAAAGCGCAGAAACACGTCTCGGTTGGAAAGCGAGGCTTACTTCGCACGAAGATCTGGACGTCTTTCTGCGCGTACTGGCCCGACGGGGCGGAGACCCTGCACGAGTAGAGGCCGGCGTCCGCGGGCTCGGCCGGCCACAGCAGCAGCTCCCCGCCGGAGCCGGAGAGGGTGCGGGCGCCGGTCGAGCTCACGTCCGCGCCGCCCCGCCGCCAACGGATCTCGCTGCGGACCACACGGCTTTCGTGTTGCTTCTTAGAACAGGAAGACGGGGTCAGGGCCGTTAATGTTCATTCGAGTTCACTCGGAGTCGGCACTCCGCTGTCATCCATAGTACAATGAAGGTCGGAAGACATTTTCTAACGCCAAACAGGTTTTAAGAACTATCAGACTGGTCGTTCTTAAAAACTTTTAATTGTTGCTGCTGAAATGGTGGTGGAAATGGTTACTTACGTATGAGCCTCGTCATGGTCAGACGACTATCCTAGCATCCGACGAGCGAAGGCCTGAGAAGACCATAGTTGCATTGGTGAGGTGGAAGATTGCTTCTTCATGTTCCTGTATCTTTGGCTAATGCAACGGGGTTTTTTGTACGCACCCGTCCTGTTCTAATCTGGAGTAGGGGGTCCATAAAAGACTATCTCACTTTTAAAAAATTAGTTGCAGATGTTTTGCCACCCTTAAAAAGTTGTACCTCACCACACTCACCAGTCGGAATGCAGTTCCAGGTACATACCACAGACCGGTCTCTGGTGAGACCGTGATACTTGCCGGGACGCATTCATAAAGTTTAAGCAACAAAGAAACTTATAATCTTTCTAAACAAATGCACCTCCATCAACCTGATTGGAAATCCGGAGTACGGGCAGTAGATGGTCGTGTTGACGCCGGCAACCACGCGCAGGGGTCCGATGCTGCGGATGGAAGGCGGTCCTGCACAGATCAAAATGCCATTGAATGTTTGTACACCAGTGCTATCTTTATCTTATGGCGCAAATATAGAATATTATGACAATATATGTGTTTCCAGAAAAATCACACAGCTATATCACAGCGATTTAAGAATCAAGGAATATAATATCTGATACGCAGTTGTTAGATATATCGAGAGAATAAGTCAAAGATATTTGTTTATATTTAGATCAATTATTAAACTTCTTTTACTATTTATTTTACGTAATTATATTTACTCTACGTAATTCGTAAAGGAAATAAATTAGCTCATCTAAATACATAATTTATACATTTCTAAGACCAGAAATCTGTTATTACGATTGGGGCTAACTTCCAATACTCATTTTAAATATAAAAAATCTGTTTATTACTTTTTTACCGCACTTCACGATAGTAAAACTACAACCGGCTCTGAAGATTCCTTCTACTAAGCTTACGTATTAATATGCTGTTAATGTTTTTAAGTTTTAAAAACTGCATAACCGTAAACGTTAAGGCGGGTGGAATGCTCGACCGCACCGCGGGAGTTGTGCGCCCTGCAGGTGTATCGGCCCCCGTCCTCCGGCCGCACCGAGGTTATGTTCAAATAGCTCACCATGTCACCGTTGGGGTTCATGAACTGCGTTATGCTCCTGAAAAGGCGCCAAATGATCGGCTACTTCAATACCCACTGTCGAATGCCTGAATCGATTCCTTAATAATAAGCTAATATCCATTGACTTACAGGTAAGCATGATGATTATGATAAGCATGATCACGATGATAAGTAAAGATAGAACTGAGTTAAGATAACACGTATATAAAAAAAAAGAAACAAAAATAATATAAGTACCACATAAAGTTCAAATAGATATTGATAACAAGATTAAATAGTGGCTTAAATAAAAGGCACCATTTTAGAGAATCTAATGCAATTTGGTTATGAAATTAAACAGAAAATTAGTTCATTTAAAAGAAAATAACCTAAGTGCGAAGGATCGGAAACTCAGCTGCGCCCGTACGTCCACATAGAAGTAGCAATTATTCAAGTTAAACATTTAATTCGATACCAGATGTCTTTCCCAGCTTCGCAAGAGCTAACATTTATTTGTTTCACCTTGGGTTACATTATTGAAATTTTACTGAGGATACCCAATTTTTCATAATAATAAATGTGGAAGTAAGGAAAAATGGAGTATTCTAATGGTGAAAGAATTTTTGGATTGAGTCCAGTAGTTTTTGAGTTTATTAGTCACAAACATACAAAAATACAAATCTTTCTGCTATATAATATTAATAATATAGTATACACATATGTCGCGACGAAACGCTATACGATACGAATGGTTTAAATTATAAAGTGGTCCTGACAATTGAATCTTTTGCTATAGGCAGACGCAGAGTAACGGCTAGTTTTATCGATCTTTCGTACCTCTGTGGAGTATTACGTTCCTCCATAGGCTGCATGTCAATGAGCCACGTGAATCTTGGCGGTGGGGAGCCAGATGCTGAGCAGTGGAGCGCCAGGGAGGGACCAGGATGCAAAGCCTGTTCTATGAACGTATAGTGGAGTTCTGGAGCGGTGTCTGAAAAAAAAAAAAGTTCACTTGCACATTTATATCGCAACTTAAAGGAACAACGAAGGTAGATTAATAAATTTAGTATTCATAAAACGTGGTCCATTTTATGACTCGGCAGCCGTCGATATTACCATCGTAAGACACTTAAACGCTCACGACGGCAATAACAAACGCTAAATGGTCAATTCCCCGTCTAGCAATGAAGAAAGCTACACGCGTCTTGTGCAACCGCCTCGTGATATGTCGTCGCCGGGAGAGCAATATCCCTCGTTAATGGGCCGGCCTACAATAACCCGTGATAAACGAACCAGGCCTTGTTTATTTGGCGGCTTTTCGCGTTGATTGGATACTGTTGAACTTACTATTTATTGAGACTTTTTAACACGCGCCTGAACTATTTTCCCGTAGTTAATGATTGATACTTACAGGTGAATTATACCTAAGAACACAAAAAATAAGTATACGGTTTTGTTCAGAGCACATCATTTTCATTTGTAACGTTTTATGATTCCAAAATTTAGATGAAACACGAATGGAACTTCTGTGTGTGTACACATCTAACTTTTAAACTTATTAAGTGAAATTGCATTTTTAATTTTGTGTTTTTGGACATGGTCATCTAAAATAAATTTCTCTTCTTTTCTTCTAAGTTGGGGTTGGCGCAACATGTCAATCACGTGTTAGTATTAATGGCTACGTTCTTACGACCGGCCGCCTGTCTGACTTCAACTCATAACTATCATTTTATAGGGAGTATAAAATGTAATTTAATTCAAATGAGAGTGAATTAAGAAGATATTCAAAATGCCTTCACACCGTATCGATTTGGTGACACAATAGCTTGAAGCTACGGGTCTGAGAACCAGTAGGGGACAGTACTGAGCTCTTTATTGCTGTGAACTAAGGCGGAAGCTGTGACAGGCAATACGTTCGAACTTTCCGCAAGATGTGAGATGCATGCGGAGCGCGTACTGAACTGTTAAAAGGAAAATATTTGGGAACTACTTATCGATAAATCCCTTTGAAAAATAAACAAAGAGCACTCGTACTGCCAACAAGATGTAAAAATTCCTACTAAAGAGAAACAAAACCGAAAACAAAAGCAAATAGAGATTGCACAAAAAATCATATCAAATTCTAAAGCAAAAGTAACGGACTCTTAATACGAATTTATTCTCGTAGCATACGATACAGGCATTGTTTGTATTCGTATAACTGATGCTATCGATTTCAGTTCGTAGACTATTAAATCATCATCTGAGACGAGTGTCGCTTCATGGTCCATCGAGGTTCGGTATGTAGAATACCGTGACCCCGATGGCCGTTTTTGATAACATACATACATAGCTTTTCCCAATTTATATAACATTAACTCAATAATTACATAACAATAATACATAGCCCTTCCAGTAGAGCAACAGCCTTTACTTCCAATAACCCAAAAACTAACCCGCGTACGTTGTAAGAGTTAAATTTATATTCCTCAAAAACAAATATCATAATAGGTAAAATTCTAGGGTCTAGGAAATATCACGACGCAATAGGTGTCAAACCAACAACTTTGAAATAAATCACAACAAACTGTACTAAGTAATTATTGATAAATTATTAATTGAAATATGTGCAATAATTATAACAATACAGGGCTAAATGTAGGTTGATTAGAGGGCAGAAAGCAAAAGAAAGATCAATAAGGCCCATTTCTTGACAATACACGTTTTGCTACGTGTTTGTCCAAACAAAATTTTGCCTCAACAGCTTGTGACTTCACCCAGAGGCTTTTGGCATTTTGCCCAATCGCTATACAAAATCCTAGTAAGATTTACGGTAGCCTTTTGTCATTTATAACAATTACTGACAGATGTGACCTTGTTCTATTTTTGTTGCGTAATAATAAATAAATATTTTCGGACACATTTTTACACGACGTTCTATAGTCCCAAACTAAGCAACGCTTGTACTATGGGTACTAGATAACTGATAAACTTACTTAAACATACTTTTCTTTTGTAAATAAATACATATTATACATATATAAACACCCAGACACTGGAAAAACGCGATGTTAATCACACAATTTTTTTCCAATAGTGGGGTTCGAACCCACACCCTCTGGCTCAGGAGGCAGGGTCACTACTCCCCACGCCAATCGAGTCGTCATGAATGTCATATTCCAATAAAATACAAGTTATAGAAGAATATGGTTTTATCATAAACATCAAATTCAACATTTGGCTAGTATGTTGCTTAAATTAAATCATTATAAATGACACAAGAAATTAAACTAAATTAAATTAAATTAAACTATTTTAAGAATTTTAATGTAAATTCCTTCACTTTTTTATGTTTAAATGCCTATATATATTTTGAACACCGCAGCACCCGAAGTTGTATTAAAATTAAATACATAGGTATATGTAATAAAATGAAGAATGTGTATTTCAATTTTTTTTATATACCTGTGTAACGAAATGTCACCTTAAATCTAATCTAATATAGCGTATTTTTTATTAAGCAGATAAAGCACAAAAATCCTTACAACGATTATTTTCTAAATTGTGTGAAATTCAACAAGACATAAAGGAGTATCGTAGAATTGCCTAGAACAGAACTTTGTTTATGAATATTGAATTTGGAGCTCTCGTTGCACTACCTCGTTTTAATGGATTCGGGGACAGCGCCCCTCGATCGCTAGGGATGTGCTGGAGTCAAGTTACGAGAAGTGAGCGATAATTATTTAAAGTTACGAAAGGTAACTTGAATGACATTTGGTTTTTTTCTTTGTTTTGGTTTCTTTTGGACAATTTTTTTCTTATCTTAATTCTGCAAATTATAGTTTTGTATAGGAGTCCAAAAAAGGACTCTAGTCTTAATGTAGGTCGCTTACAAAAATAGTTAAAAATGTTATGAACAATGTAGAATTATGATATCCTCGACATATTTTTGGCTAAGTAACTACTTTCAGCACAGCACTCATAATCGTGAATTACATTCATGAAGGATCTGGGTCCATACATAATATTAGTAATTAATTGACATAAGTTATATGGTGGAAGATACCTATGTACTAAGATAATATCTATATATATAAGATAATATATATATTATGTGGGGGAGATTTACGTATATTGTACCTATATTTCGTAAAATTCCTTGCGGAAACTGAAATTTCTCATCAAGACAATTATTAATTTGTTATGGTCAAAGCGACAACACTAGAATCGATCTTTCGCCACGTCACCTGGAAAAACATTGCGATTAATTGAATATATTGTTTTATACCCTGTACATAACTTCAACTAGTAAGTGTCTTGTGGTGAAATTTTGACGGGTGGACGTAAAAGTGAACAAATAAAATTTACATTCTCGTTTATCACTTGTACCACACGTCACCTGTCAGAGCGACGAGTGACGCATGGCCTGTCCGGTCATTACTGCAGCAGAGTTTAATCAATAACTGACCCGAATCCGAGCTCGATACGGCTGACACAATGGTGCAAATATTACAGCATCCAAAACGATTCTCACTGAAAACTGTGGATGATCATTGTACTCAGAAGACCCTGATTTATTCCAATTTAACACAGCAGCTAACGTGTTAACATCTGAATTATAATTCATTTGTTGTAGTTATGTTAGTATGTAAGATATTTTAATAAAGATAACGCATGTCCGTACAGTGCGGCGTTTAAAACTTATTTCGCTTAACATTAAATGACATATGTAAGTGAATGTGACAGATAATATAGAACGTATGATACGGAAAGAGATAGCAGTCTATATAAATGCAAACTAAGAAGTCATGCTTTCATGCAAATGCATCGACACTATACTTTCAATTACGCTCTCCGTGTAACAGTTTTATAAAGAGTAATGATCATCCTCTCTAAAGCTAAAATCAATTAGACATACGGTGTCGACGACAAAGACGATTTGCATCAATAATTTTATGCAGGATCCGCTTTTTCCAGTGATATCTTTCGACGGGGAGTAAGAAGCTTAGTTTAAGCGCTGACGTTTCTACCTGAATAAATTTAAATACTTAAAAATATTCGCATAGTTCTGATATTACAGTTCTTTGGCTGGCTTTTACTTGTATGAAATGTTCAGTGCCCATCCGTGTAAGCAGTTCATTTAACTTCTGAATTCAGAAACTAAGATAAGGCACTTTTAATACTTGAATTAGCCAAAGATATTTTGTTGTACAAAATGAAAACAGACAGACCTCCATTTCTCGCGAAGAAGGCCACCTTCCAAGGGTGTTTTTTTTACTTCACAGTAGCCACGTTTGGACTTCTGGCGAATTCTTTTCACTCACCTCCGAGCCTCAGTTCGGCCGCAGCTTGGGCGCTGTCCAGGTCCCTTTCGGCGAAACACTGGTACATCCCGCGATGAGCGCGCACCACCCCGTGGACCCTCAGCGTCCTCTCTCCCCCGCCGACTGGTACTCCGTCGTGCAGCCAACGCACCCTCGCCTCCCCACCTTCCACTGAGCAGTTGAAACTCACCGAACTCCCCGAATTTGCCACCTGTAAAGGACCCCAAGGGTATGCGTAATCTTATTTCTCATACTATTCATCGTCAATTGTTATTTTTAACCGACTTCAAAAAAGAAGGAGGTTGTTAACCGACTTCAAAAAAGAAGGAGATTTCTCAATTCGACCGTATATATATATATGTATATTTTTATGTGTGTTCGCGGATAACTTCTTCGTTTATCAAGCGATTTTGATGATTCTTTTTTTGTTGGAAAGGAGATATCCCAAGGGTAAGGAAACCCAGCTCTGATGATTTCATCTCAGAGAAAACGAGGGCAATCCTCAAAAGTTACATGTGTTAACAATGTTTTTTAGTTTCCGGTTTGAAGTCGGTTTTTTTTGTTATACTTATATATACTTGTTTGTTTTATGTATGTATGATTCTGATGTGCAATCCAAAGTTTGAAATATAAATGAACTTATTGAATTATTGGTTTATTTGTCTGCTCAATAAAACTTTTATTTTTGATTAATCACAATGCCAGTGTGAAATGTTAGTTCAAACATTTTATTTTGTAACTAAACTTAATTTTAATATACTCTATCAATTATTCAGCAAGGTTATAGCATGAGTAAGGGATGACCAAGTCATGGGATTTCGTAGTATAAAGGCAATGTCAATCACTTGCTCTGTAGACTAGCACTAGTTGCCTGCTCAAGTAAAGTCTATATACAGGTATATCGTAATAAAAAAGCGTTCCAAGTGTTCCCACCAGATATCTCGATGTCTTTTAACTTATTTATCGCATCGCAGTGGCTGACGTGGGGAGGGATGCGGTGACATGGTGCCTGCTCACGTCTCGGCCGAAGGCGGTACCACCGAGGGACTGAATTATTCAGCACGGAGTGACGTCACGTCCGCGCGTGTTTGTCTCAACTTGATTACCGACTATCGCGTGCGCCCCACGGCGGTAGAGCGAACTACACCGATAATCGAATTCTTGTGAAATATTTTATTCATAGATTAGTATATGTTGCCTCTTCAAAGGCCTTGATCCCGATCTTTTATAAACGCTATACATAGCAATAGGCGTAAAATAAAACGAATTAGTTTGGTGGAATTACTAATCAATCACATGGATCTGATTTTGCTTGTCCATTATTTTTAGATGTTGTTATGGAGTATATTATGATATTTTTATGGAATAGTTCCATATTGTATTGTGTGGGAAACCCGCTTAAACATTTTTTTATTGTTTTTCCAGTATTTTTTTTTTGTTATAGGGGCAATATAAATACATCATCTGTGAAAATTTTAACTGCCTCACTATCACAGTTCATAAGAGATACAGCCTGGTGAGAGATGGATAAACAGCAAGACGGACGGACAGACAAAGAAACAGACAGACGGACGGACAGACACAGAGCTCAGTAATAGAGTTCCGTACCCAAAGGGTAAATGGGGAATTTACTTTATTATTTAATTTACCCTTTGGGTGCGTTTTTTTTGGTATCCTAGGTTTCAATAATATTTATTTTTATCACGATTTTTGAACTAATGACGCCAATATTTCTGACATTATAACGAGGTTTTATTCAGCTTATTAACGAACTTCGTTGCCGTACTCGAATTGCACTGGTATGCAAATACAGACATCAAAATTCCTTCACAAGACCCGTTCAATTTTCGAATTTAAACATTTTATTAAGAACTAGACGCTGTCCTCGACTACGTCTGCGTAGAATAGGCTGAAGGCGTAACATTCAGATAGAAAGACATAGATACATAAAAATATGTATATAAATAATAGCCTATGTCTTATTCTGATGTATAAGCTATATTATTGTAAAGTTTCATTAGAATCCATTCAGGAGTATTTGCGTGAAAGAGTAACAAACATCCGTACATATAAGGACAACGGTATACCTGCAGCTGAGGGTGCACGCTGACCACCAGCCTCGAGCGCACACTCAGCCGCGCGTCGCGCCTCTGCTCGCCGAACTGGTTGTGCGCCCTGCAGGTCCACACGCCGCCGTCTGAGAGCTGGGCCCGCCGGATCACCAGCACCTGCTCCGACACCGAGATGCGCAGACCGCTCGACACCGGGCTGAGGCGGCCGTTGGCGTGACGGAACCAGCTGTTCGCCCAACGTAAGGATTCATACGTTATTATCCTTCACGAACCGCCCCGGCTTCGCACGGGTGCAATGTGTTATACATATAAACCTTCCCCTTGAATCACTCTACTAGTAAAGAAAACCGCATCAAGATCCGTTGCGTAGTTTTAAAGATTTAAGCATACATAGGGACAGACAGACAGCGGGACGATATTGTTTTATACTATGTAGTGATGTTTACAAAAGAATTTGGACTGGAAGAATGGGCCAAAGGTCCGAAGTTATCTTTTAATTGACGAATTTAGAAGCCTCGTAATGATGATGATTCTAAAAAAATATATCGATAAAACTGTTTTACAATTACTCACACTCTTCTAGATTATACTTCTGCTTATATTTCGTCTTGCAAGTGAGGTAGGTTTAACGGTGGTAGGGTCATGAAGCATCCTCGGCTGTTGCACGAATGGACAGTCCCGTCCGGGAGAGTACCACGACCTCACAGAAGACCGGCGTAAAGTGGAAGTATGACAAATACTTTCGCGTTTCGTCTGGTGAGTGATGTAGCCGGAGCCCAATATTTAAAAGGTTGTCAACGCCTCTGTAACCCTCGGATATGGCAGATGACCATGGGTGGCGGTATTCACTTAACATCAGGTGAACCGTCTGCTCGTTTGAAAACTTCTCGCATAAAAAAAAGGTAGCTGGGGCCCACTTTATTAAAAGGAACCAACGCATCTGCAACCCTACGGGTGTTGCTAATGTCCATGGGCGACAGTTATTACTTAACATCAGGTGCATCGCTAGCTCGCTTGCCACCTCACATAAAAATGGTATTAGGGTAAGAAGGCAAACCTGTATGTCGGTGGTGGACTACCAATGGCACAGCACACTAGTCTTATATCACCTCCCTGCTGTACGGTCTCGTCCTCAGACACCGTTAGCATTCGAGGCGCCATACTTCCACTCGAATCTGTTGATGTATATTAATAAAACATGAAAGTTTAATTATTAATATGGATTGAGTTTTCGTGTGTCTACTATAAAAAAATGAATTCTTTCTTTTTCGCCATAACCCTTGAAACCCCCTAGAGTAGCTAAGGTTTTCATGTGAGTTTATCGGTCACTGATGCACCTCTGGCCTGCTATTATTCTCTATAAGCGGACCTTCTTGACCTTCTTGTGGGGGTCAACCGAAGGCGATCAAGTTCGCTGCATAGATGATCTTAAGTATTAGAGTTATCACGAAGCGAGTCTAATAATAAATAAGATATACAAAGTACACGTACATAATCATTCTGTAATTTTACTACAGTCCGTCTTTAGTTACACGATTATCTTAACATATTACGCACAAAATTAATATATTTCTGTACCCGGATGGTTTTCTCCTTCTGAAATTGTAATAGAAAGTAACAAGTCCATATTTTTATTAACAGAAAATAAAACCGAAACATTCATTCATTTTATAATTCATTTTATAATTGATTTTTAGGAGTTCCCTAAGTATCTCCGGAACCCAAGATCCAATACTAACGAAATTAATTAATATGGGACCACATGGGAAGCACCAAAATGGGTTCAATCAATCGAAAAGTCTGAGGTAACAACCTTAAAAATAATATAGTCTAGTTAAAAACCTCCTCCTTTTTTGAAGTCGGTTGATAAAATATATTTGCAGAGCGACACGCACGTGATACGGCAACCATCGCGGGGGCACTGCGCCTCTTGTCGCCCGTGAGCATGTGTTGAGCTTCGCACGAATAAGAGCTTGCATCGTCAGGCTTGGCGTCCCGAATGACCAGAATGTCGCCGCGACTGCCGCCAACCACGTGCCGACCACCTGCATCGGTAAAATACAGATTTGAGACTCAGGTATCTGTAGATCAGTTGTGAGGTATAAAGCTAGAGAAAGACCAAGAAATATTGGACTGTGTTAACAATGATATGTCTGGGAAAGGGTCGAGTATTGAGATAACGGTAAACTAAATTACGGATTTTATTTTGTTGGAACAAATATTCAAAATAATCGGAAGGAGTGACGTGATTACAATCTTTATATGAGTGACATTGGACAGTGGGGCAATGATCTTCAAAATTTTAGGAGTTACATATGAAATAAAAGTTGCAATATACATATTATTTAAGTAAGTGGGTATCGTTATTTAATGTTATTACCATTATATTCTTAACCCGATACTATAGAAGGAGCGGTATGTTTGATCGTAAGCGGAAGACTTAAGTCAAAATAGCCACTGAATTTCAGAAGACTTCTCAAGTGGGTATAGCTTCATGACTTTGAAATCAGGAGACGGCGCAGGTTGAGTGCACTTACACATTTATGGGGGGCGACAATGTTCGACCCGAGCGAATCGACTGTTTTTGAGCGCGAACAATCGGGGCGAGCTCTGTTAAGATTTTTATGGTCGCCTAAAGAAGGGTAATATTTTTTTTTTTGTGAAAAAGTAGCAACCTGGCTGGCAATTCACGTGCCATTAAGCGATAACCGCCACTTATGGACATTCGCAACACCCGTAGTATATGATAGCATATTTGTTTGTGTGAAAAGGAATATAACCGCCGCCCATTGATATTTGAAACAGCCGTCATTGCGGATGCGTTGTCACTATATAATAAAGTGAGCCCCGGGTACCTCACTCACCAGATGAAGTGCAAAAGTCGTGGTACTTTCCAGGACGGACCAGCCAATTCGTGCAATAGCGAAGACTGTTGCATAGCCCTACCAGTCTTGTACCTTTCAGTCTTTCAGATCTGACAACGATATTGGAATTCCATTCCTACAGAATAACGTAAGATAAGTTCAATCATGGAAAATAAAAATAGAAATAAAACTGGTCGTTTCTCACTCGTTCGTTTGATGCTCGTTCGATGTTCCCAGAAAGTAGCAGTTGATTGAATAAAAAGTTTCTTCTTCGGCTAATAAAATGAGAATAGACATGAATTGACAATAATTATAACACATGCTACTTATCCACCCATGAAATCATTACAAAGACGTTTTAGCCGATTAAAATTATAATTCGAACTTTATATCCATTTTTTAGTTATATAACAAAAAAGTTAACCGTCTAAAGTTTAAATGTTATAGTTTCTCTACGAAAAACCCTTTCATCACACTTTTAAACTATTATGTGTATTTAATAATAATTATTCAAATTGATTTCAAACAGCGGCGAATCCATCCGCATTTAAAGTGTTCAAATATTTTGAAGCGCTTTTCTCACCGAGTGTTGTTGAGGCCTCTCGACAGTCTCGGTTCACGATCAGATAACTTTCAGCTTGGGAGTTTTTCAATGAATTCTAAATGCGCACCGGACTAGCGTCTCACCGTCCGTTAGTCTGTCTCTGTCCGTCTCGCTTGCTCAATTGAATTCGTTTCATCCCCACTCATTCTCTCTCCCTCTCTCTATTGCCGCCGCGAACTGATGGCGCTGATACTATTGTCACTTTGTTTCCAGACTCGAGTGGAATTTTGTAGCCTTTTGTTGTAAATAACTTTTGCTCGAGCACTGTTCGAGATTTCTCATTGTCGACTAAGAGCGTTGATAATGCCGCCGATGGGGACCAGGTCATTGCTGTATTTGCATTTTAATGTATTCTCGCCTCGTAGCGTTTAGGCAAATCGGTTTTCTAAAACTTGTAGACGTAACGATCGGACTTCAAGTTTCGCTTTAACGTAGTCCTCTAAATGGTAAACATAATAATGACAATTTGCTATCCATTTAATGAATATATACATTTCTTACGATGTAATGGTAAAAATTGATCGAATAAAGTATGTATTTATACATACAAACTATGCCATTTTATTTTTAGTTTAAATAAAATTAAAAAATAGGTACTATAAGCGCAATGTAATGAAAGACAAAATAAATAATTATTTGACTTGTCATAACCCATTTCTGTCGGTACGTTTTAGTGGTCATTACAATTCACATCCGACATTGTTTTGTGTTTATTTACATACATATTTCTCATAATTTTACCGATACACACCTAGACAAGGAAAAATTTAATTATATATATCCAATACAAATGCTTGACTAGATTTGGGTATCGAACCCACGACTGATCCGTCACTGTACTAACCATATACACTGTACTCATCTAATCAATATAAATGTATTTCGGCACAGTCCGAGCGGAAAAAAGGTTACGGAGAGTATTACTTAGTATATATTCGTATTAAATTTCACACATCCAGTGGGCCAGAGGTCACATTGCGATCCAAACTCTGGTTCCGTTCGCACGTGGAATTATTATTTCATTTATAATGATGTTAGACGCGTATATTTAAACTTATTTCAGTGTATAAAGATATTAAAAAAGCTTTAGATTCTATTAGTGTTCAACACGCTGAATAAGCCGAATTTTCTGTCACAAATTTTCCTCAGAAATAATATAAGTCATCAACGTCAACTGTTCGCATTACTGAATTAAATCATTTTCGCTGTTATATTTGTTCATTAAGGGTTAACTAATAATGTAATATGTAGAAGTATTGAACTAATGCGGTAGTGTGTCTAATAGGAGCTATTTTTATATTTTTTTATCTTCATAAGATTAATAAAACACATAGAAAGGGTACGCGGCACACATAATTAATCAAACTACGACATGCAAATGCCGCAATAAGTAAAAATATCCTTCACTCGTTCGCGCAACGAAAAGAGGACGAGTTTAAATCCCTTGCTCGGTGGTTCCAACAAAGACTTAGTAAGGACCAAAGCCACCGTTAATTAGTCAATTAGCAATTCCAGCTAACGAATGCCGTTCAACCGGCGGCCGCGTTCACAATAAGCTTAATTTTACGAGCAGACGACGCGGAAAACTATAATGAGCCGTTTCCATAACCACGAGTGTGGGACAATGTAAATGTTAGTACTAGTATTCATTGTTACGACGCGAGGATAAAGGATGCAGACGCGTGCGTGATGAAATACTGACAACGGAACGTTATAACGCTTACATTTTAATAACTCGGATGTATGTACGTCCCCGTGACGTATGTTCTATGCGCACAATGTACTAGATTACAGGAAACTTCCCACTTGCTTGGAGGCGCAGAACATCGCTTTACCCATTTATCCAAAGACCTGAAGAATTAATCTCACACTTGGCTTATTTGAAGTGACTTTAATCTCTAATCACTGTGATCAATTCTACTTACTGAAATTTTGTGAATTGTTCTTATTTGATATGATTGATTGATAGTATTCTCTAATGTCTATAATCTAATATTTAATATCTAATATTTATGTATAATCTCATTGGTAGCAGTACTATTTTATTCCGGTAGGGCTACGTAGCAGCTTCTAATGCTACACGAAAGGGTTTCAAGCCAGGGGTCGCGATTTCGGTTTCTTTTTAAAGGGGTTCCAGTGCTTTTACGCGATGCACCAGATATCTAATTTATCTTAGAATCCCTTCCTACCCTTGCCAATAAAGCGTGAGTTCTATTGTATGTATTTATTTATAAATAACTCAGCGCCAATAATATACCTCTAAAGATATAAATGATTCCGCACTTTTATTTTATTACCTTGACATTTACTTTTATGGTCGTTCGAACGAGGCTTCGCTTAGATAATAACCATAACATATAAGTAACTACGCAATTTTCATGGGGAGATAAAATATACTATTGATGACGTTCCCTCTAAGAAAAAATATATCGCTACAGAAAGCTTCAATTTAACTGCGGTTTTAATAATTTAATCATGTTTTCGTACGAAACATAATGAGCGAAACTAAGGTCCTAAAAATTCAATGTTTAAAACGAAATCAATAAAATATACTATTCTGTTGTTCTATATTATACAAAGATATACTTTGTTTTTTTTTTTTTTTGTGAAAAGTTGTCAAGCGAGCAGTCGGTTCACCTGATGTTAAGTGAAAACCGCCGCCCATGGACATCCGCTACACCCGAGGGTTGCAGATGCGTTGACAACCTTTTGAAAATTGGGCTCCGGCTACCTCACTCACCAGACGAAACGCGAAAGTATTATACTTCCACTTTACGCCGGACTTCTGTGAGGTCGTGGTATTTACCCCGATGAGCCTGCCCATTCGTGCAACAGCCGAGGCTGCTGCGTGGCCCTACTACCGTCTACTACTATATATATAAGATAGAACAACAGAACTATAAATAATATTTCTGAAGCTCGTTTCACATTAGAAGGAACTGTCTGATGCTAATTGACAATGCTTTAAGTTCATTGTATTGTTGTTATTGTAACTGAGTTTTATTTAATTAAAGCCGAAATTATTTATCTACAAAACATTAATCATTTGGTATACCAAGTTAAAGTTAATAAATTTATTTACTACTTTTGTGTATAGGACTGTTATAGAAACGGACAGGCGGTTCACCTGATGTTAATTGAATACCAAGGACATCAAGAAAATGTGAGGGTTGACAACCTTACCATTTTTTTAAAGAATATCAACCCTGATACGTTGATAACCTTCTTAAAATTTAGTACCGATTACCTCACTCACCTGACACTTCACTTACACTTTCACTTTCCACTGGTCTAATGCGAGACCATGATACTTGCACGGACGAGTCTGCCCATTCTAGCCAAAATTTGTTGCGTGGCCCTAAATTACACACTCGTTATCACGCACTGTTACTTTGATTACATAAAATTGTATTTTTTGTTTCCTTTTTACTCCAATAATGTAAATAACTGATTAGTTCACCTTATGTTCTAACCGTTCATCAAAATGAGACTCTTTTAAACTGACTCGTTTAAATCTTACACGTCGAGGCCCCGAATCATGTAGCCTCATAAACCTTTGCCGCAGATCAGTGTGTCAATTTAATTAAATTTATCTCTGCCTTCACCAGCGAAGGAAGGACCTCGGGTGGCACATGTAGGTCGTAAAAGAAAATTGCTAACAGTACGTCGTCCCGTTTTAGTGCGATGAGACGGAGGCGTGCATCAAAACCGGCCAAGTGAGAGTCGGATTCACGCACGAAGGGCTCTGTACCATTATCTATAAAAACGGCAAAAAAAATCATGTCTAATGTATTGGAGCCACACTAAAATTTTATTTAATCTGTCTTTTAGTATTTGTTGTTTAGCGGCAACAGAAATACCTACATCATCCATAAACATTTCAACTGTGCAACTATCACTGTTCATGAGATACAGCCTGGTGACAGACGAACAGACAGACAGGCAGCGGAGTAATAGGGTTCCGTTTTACCCTTTTGATACGGAACCCTAAAATTATGGCGGTGAAGCTCGTCGAACTGCCAGCTAGCGTTAAGCGGGCCGGGTAATCTGCATAAGCGATGACGTAAAAGACAAGTTGTGACGTCACGGTAGATTTTTTAACAAGAACATTGGCCGATTATATGAAATGTATTTTTTATGAAACTTGAATAAGTGATTGGAGTAATAACTTATTAAACAGTTATCCACATAAATTAAAATGCATAATGTAATAGATTTAATATCTGTGGAATCAGATAACAATGTCTTGCTTACAATATATACTAATATCTATTTACGTTAATTTCTACACTTATTATATCCTTAGTTACATTTGTCTACCTCTTCAGATCAATGTAAGATCTCTTACTATGTTCTAAGACCCATTTGGTGGCTATCGAGCTATCACTTTTTCGAGAAAGGGGAGAGTCCTATGTTCAGCACTGTATTCTATTTTTTTTTAATTTTAAAACATTGCCCTTACTTTACGATAACATTCTCCTGTGTTGTATGGACGTTTTACAAACATAAATTTCACGTGGACAAACACCCAGATGCGAAACAACTATCTGTGGGTCACACAAATAGCTGTCCCGTGTGGGAATCGAACCCACGACCCCCGACGCCGAAGCCAATACGTTGGCAACTGCGCCACGGAGTCATCATTCAAACAGATTGGAATAATCCTAACTTTAGCTAGTGTCCGAACTTTCGCAGCGGTTATACAGTGTTTTAAGTTATGGAGTGAGTTAACGGAATATAATAAAATTATCCTCCATAGTTAATGTCTTGCATAAATAAATAAAATATTAAAAATTTAACACAAATATTGGGAGCCGTAATAATTATAAGTAGATCATCAAATGTTTCAGATAAGTATAGAATAAAATCTTCATGTAAGCATGTAGATTTTATTCATATGTTTTATATTCCAAAATTAAATTTCATGGTCACAACTATTAACCTTCTAAAACCTAAATAACAGCATACGAAGCAATGATGTTTTAATAAAGATTAAAAATTAATCCGCTTTACATTAAATGACATATAAGTGAATGTAACAAATGATATGGAACATGATACGGAAAGAGATAGCAGTCTATAGAATTGTAATCTAAAAAAGAAGCAAAGTTACACAAATTGGCGTAATTTAAGTGCCTCAGTTTCGGTGCATAAGTTCTACCTCGTTTTTGTATATAATATCATTGATATGTAGTAGGACTTGAGATTGTTTCATTATGTCTACGAAACCGTCACTAGTGAGCCGTTTCTAAACACACACCTTCATTAGAAATTCAGTCTTCGCTTCAATTATACCGCTATTGTTGTTAATCCTATGAGATGGCTCTACAGCCGTGACGTGCGTGCTTTGAGTCTATAAAATGACGCCGTTAACCTCAGGCTTAGTTCTGGAATATATAAGACCTAAATTACTCTACTTAACATAGTTAACAACTTCTAGTCTGCCGTTGCTAAGCTATTGGTTTCGGCGTCATTGTTCGAAGGGTTTCTGTTCTTTCATCTAAACATTTATTTTAAAAATGATGCTTTTTTAAAAATGAACTTTATTTATTACACTGATATTATAAACTACTACAAAACATAACTTAGAGCGACTGAACTTGCACTAACTTAAATGTAATGTGCTTAGTTACCACAAATATGCTGACACCGCTCCTTTATATGGCAGTGGAATGCATCAGCCGTAAAGTGTACAATAATAATATATAGCATGGCGTTGTAACTGTGGCAGGGCCACTGTAACAACCCCATGTACTGGGTCTGGTGAGTGAGGTAACCGGGCCCCACTTTATTAAAAGGCGATGGTTTCCACTTAACGTCACGTGAACCACCAGCTCGCTTGCCACCTACTTACATCCAAAAAAATTATGAGAGAATTTAAGACAGGTGTCAGTATAAACTAACTAATAATAGAGTCCAACAACCATAACCAATGATGACAAACTATTAAAATAATTTGTGGTACTTTCAAACAATTTTTCGATCCAGGTTTGTTTCAACACACCGTTTATAAATTTTGTTACAAAACCGAATAATAAAATAATACAACCAAATAATCAAATAATAAAGTAAAGAGTAGGCAACTTTATGAAAAAGACGATGATCGAAATATTATCTGTTTCTTTTTTATCTTATCTGTTGTTAAACAATGGTGTCATTATATAGGTTTAGTTTATGGAATAAGATAGTCCTGCGCTGTATGGATGTTACACAGAAACACAGCCACATCCAAATTACATACAAGTTAAATTTGATCTGGTCAAAGGTCCAAATCGAACCCTCAACTCTCAACTCAGCACTTAATCTCTATTCGCCTTAATTTCACATCTAGGCGTAATGTATTGATCATAAAAGTCTTCAGTTATGGCCGACTCTAAACAAGAAGTAATTACAACCAAGCACGTAAGCCTTGAGCTATAGTCCCACCTTGGCCAAATTCGCAATATTAGCAACATTTTAGAGCTCACAACGATCATGCGACAGTCTGGAGGGAGCTTTGTATTAATTAAGATGTCCGCAAGGGACCACAGATGATATATAAGCGTTAAATATTATCGTTACACGTATTATCACCAAGTTGTGTACAACAAAGACAACAAATGCTGATCTAATAATATAATAATGCTTAAAGTCTGACATGATGACTCCGTGGCGCAGTTGCCAAAGCATTGGCTTCGGCGTCGGGGGTCGTGGGTTCGATTCCCACACGGGACAACTATTTGTGTGACCCACAGATGGTTGTTTCGCATCTGGGTGTTTTTCTGCGGGAAATTTATATTTGTAAAACGTCCTTACAACACAGCATTATGTTATACTAAAGTAAGGGCAATGTTAAAAAAAAAGGAGAAGAAAAGTAAATTCAAGTATGTTTTAAACTTTAGTACATTCATGCTTGGTACACTTCAGCTTACTAACCTTCTGAGCTATGTCGGTACCTTTGTTCTACTGCGGATGTCTTCGTTGTGAACTATATCGCACAGAGAAATACCGAGCATAGCCCACTCCATAGCTCGCTGAGCGACTTCGAGCTACCTCATATTCTTACCTGTACCTATTTGCATAACTTCATTATTTAGGAAAAAAACTTCGTCATACTTGATTTACTCTAGCGAAACTTATTGTTACATAGAAATAAAGAGTTAATATACAGAACTCAATATTCAAACTTACAGTCCAAGCATAATTAGATGCAATCTAAAAATGCTATTTGGGCGGGGTATTTTCGCTTAATCTGCAAAACGATAACCTAATTTAATGGGACTAGTCGTGGGAATTCTAACGGAAAATTCATAAAGAATAGGCCGTTGTTCCTGTCGTCGGCAGCTGCCTTATTTACGGGGAGGGGAGACGAAAAATACCTAATTTCTGACGCCCCAATCGACTGTGCCATGGTGGCCAAAATTAATTTGGCTTTATTACATACAAAACAGCCTAGATAACTCAGTGTGCGTTCGCTCGCCTTTAATACAATTTACTCGAACAACCTGAGTTCTATCTCCGGTGACAGCACCAATGAAATTGTTGCTGAAATTTTAAGTGTTGACTTATCACGTGCTCAGCAGTGAAGGAAAACATCGTGAGGAAACCTGCATATTTTCGAATTAATAACAAAAAAATATATTTCGAAGATATGTGAAGTCCGCCAATCCGCGGTGGGGCCGCGTGGTGGAGTATGCCCTGATACCCTCTGTACAGAGGAGGCCTTTGCCCAGCAGTGGGACATGTATAGGCTGTTGCTTTACTAGCTACTACTAAACTGAGCGGGATGAATCGTTGGCAGCTCTCCAGATGCCGTAACGGTATCGAAGCGATTGAAATCCGGCGGTCGGAAAGTTGTTAGTTCGGTAAGGTTGATGCAGCGCAATGGAGTTTACGGCGCAATAAATAATTGTTAGTGTTTAATGAGCGTAGAAAACTTTAGTTGGCCGATTCAATACTACATGATACGAATAACCCTATAAGCGGGAACATAAGAGTACCATGTAGTGTACGGAAAAGCACGAAAAGAAGAGTAGGACGGCATCATTTGAAAAATACATAAAATTGTCGAAAAGTGACTAGATGGCGCTATCCATTTGTAAGTCACGCTTGGGTATTGTAGTTCAAGATTGCTTTAGTGTTATTTTGGGTAAAATAAATGTATGCAGATCCATTACAAAGACGTTATGTTTGTTTTATTCCTTGTAAATCCTTGTAATCGTAGATTAAAAGTTCAAATGTCCAGTTCAAAGATCGCAGATAATAGCGCAAACACTGGAATTGCAAAAAATTCCATTATTGGACATAAGATCACTCTGTATCAATAATATTTTAATATTATTGAAATATTTAATTATTTAATATAAATTTTATATGTACAATGGCCAAATGGATTTCCTTGTAAATGAAAACAATAACAAGAAGTTTTAGTCTCTTGCCACCTCCTTACATAAAAAACACACACACACGAATTAAAACAAACTTTCGTTTCATCTGGGCAACTTACCTGCATCAGTGGTCATTGAGAGCGCAGTGCCATCTTTGAACCATCTGGTGACCACGATGTGTGCTTTAACGGATAGCGTCGGGGTGCATGTGAGTAAGGCGGCACCGCCGGCGACGCCGTGGGTCGGCTGTATCCTCAGCTCCCACGGCACGTCCATGACTGCAACAATTTCGTAACAATTAACATCATACCTATATGATGAGTGTCATAGCTTAATGAAGCTACAACATTATTTACATCGCATTTTATCCATAATGAATATTATAAATGCGAAAGTAACTCTGTCTGTCTGTCTCGCTTTCATGCCAAAACTACTGAACTGATATAAATGAAATTTGGAACACAGATAGTCTAGAGCCCGAGAAAGGACATAGGCTATTTTTTTATTGGAAAAAAGTGTTGTAAAGGGTTTTCTTTAAACATATTATATATATAGTTTTTAAAGAAAGATATTTATTTAAGGGTTTCAAAGCGAGCGAAGCCGCGGACGTTTTCATCCGCAGCTTCACTCGCTTAGTTTTACCAGAAGAGCTAAGAAGCTAGTTTTACCATAAAGTAAAGTAACAGCCGATAAATATCACACTTCTGGGCAAAGGCGTTCTCTATACAGTATAGTACTAGGGCAAAGTCCACCACGCGACCCCACTGCTGATTGACGGACTTCACGTATCTTCGAAATATATTTTTTCTTATTATTTCGAAAATATGCGGGTTTCCTCAGAGTTTTCTCTATCACTGCTAAGCAAGTGATAAATCATTTTTAATCTTAATTTCTCCATTCATGACATTAGTAATAGTGTAGTATTGTCGACATTAGTATTGTCGATGAATTAAATATTCGGGGTTTAAAAAGATGAGCGTACTAATCGTTGTTTACTACATTATCACTTTTATTCTTACTTATAAGGGTGTAGAATATAAACTCTTGATTTAATTATATAAGGTTTTGCTTCCGGTTATTAAGAATGCTATGCTAGTGCGTACTTGTATGCTCTTCCACATGTGTGTAGTATACTCCTTGTCCCTCTCATGTAGGCGTGAAAACAAGGGTTCTCAGCCTTGTTTTCACGCCAAGAGAAGTAAATGTGAGAAATGCTGGAGGAATTAAATATTTGAACTGAAATTAATTAAACAAATTTTTAATAAACCACATTTACGGTTATTTAAATTTTAAGTTTTGCTTAAAATAAAATAAAAAAAGACGATTTTAGATTGATACTAATTTAATAGTTTTATATTTTCATTGCATAATGCGAGTTGTTTTCATTTTTTACATAGATAATAATTTACGTCCTGGTTTACCTACTCGTTTATTCCAACTATAGATCTACAGGGCATTTCAGTTGACGGTAATGCGTCAATCATTTATTATTCGCACTGCTAAATACGAGTCACTAAGCTGCAACGTACCCATCACACTTATAGCGGGGACTAGACAGCTCTTGGCATAATTGATTACTGCACAGTCGTGCAAGAGCGCTCGGATTAGTGTGACAAGTATCTGTTGTGAACGGGCTTAGAATATTCCATGTTGGTTGTGTTTCCTTTGTTGTGTTGAGGCCAGTGATGTATGGAAAAATGCAGCCGAGGTTTTCAAGAACACATCTATATGATATGTAAAATACACCATTTTTTATGTGAGAAAGTTGCAAACGAGCAGGCGGTTCTCCTGAACTTAAGTGAAAACTGCCACCCATGGAAATTTGCAACATCCGTAGGGTTGCAGATGCGTTGCCCTCTTCTAATAAAGAGGGCCCCGGCTACCTCACTCACCAGACGAAACGCAGAAGTGTAACACTTGAACTTCACGCCGGTCATCTGTGAGGTCGTGGCACTAACCCGGATGGACCTGCCTATCCGTGCAACAGCGAACACTGTTGCGTGGCCCTACCACAGTTTAAATGGCTTTGGGTTCTACAAAGCATATTTAGATTTATATATAAATTTATAAACATGAACGAATTAATATCGATTGACATTTTTTCGATTGAGGTTTTGAATCAGTTTTATTTAGAAGGAACCACGACAATAATAATCTTACGTGAGGCTCCCTTAATTAACAATTTAAAGCAACACTCTGAAATTAACATGAAATTCTCAAACGATATTTGATTAAAAAGCATTGAGATTTTCTCACGATGCCCCCGTACAGATGAGCACGGGGAAAATCAGCGCTTTAAATTGCGTTAGCGACCTCCGCTGTGTCTGCACTGCAATAGTAACCTGGGTTGCTCGTAATGAAAGTAAACGGCTGCCCAGAGCCCCCACGACCGCACTTGTATAGGTACATGTGTGTACTACGACAGATACGTTGTACATTTTATAGGTAAAAGTTTAAAATAAAATAAATGTACAAATAAAATAATAAAGTGTTTTTTTTACGCGTTAACAAAAAATCAAATGTACGGCATCACTAAACTCCCGTTTTCAAATTATTCATTCGAACACATAGTTGGGTTTCACATAAATAAAATATCTATCGAGGTTCAGAAGCTTTTGAAAATCATAAGTTTTATCAAATATTTCTATTTTATTGTCATATTTTCCGATTGCCTGTTTCATAATTGTATGTACAATAAAAGTAAAGTTAAAAAAAATTCAATTAGTCATGTACCACACATGTTTGGTGAGAAAACATTAAAAAGAGATATTTTAATAGTTGTATGAAAATAATATTCTTTTATGTAATTAACATTTACTTTATGATCACACCATCTGTGTGTCACACAAATAGTTGTCTCGGGTGGGATTCGAGCCCACGACCCCCGAGCTTCGCAGATGTATCGCAGAGGCCTGCCTCATCAGATAGCTACGAGCTTAAGTGCGTCTCTAAATGATTTGCACTGAATCTAAATCTAATTCCGCTCGACTGAGAGTTTTCCGCCGCTCATCTAAAACGTAGCAATCCTACGTCGAAGTTGCCTCTCTGTGTCATGCGGCCATAGGCGGCGGGGGAAATCATTCCGACAACGGGTGTTTATTATTCATGGGGAGCATCGCGTATTTACATTACGGCCGCGGCTCCCATGGGCCGGCCGTAGTCGCCGTCATGTTATTAGCGGGTTGGTGGGTTAGTGCGGCCTTAGTGCGGTGGCTATTTTAATTTGGATCACAATTTCAGCATTTGAGGCGGAATGTTAGCGGTATTGCTTTTGGGGTCGTTCCGAGGTTCGGTCGAAATAAACGCTAAAGTTTATATAAAAGGAGGAAACGTTTCTCGCCACTGCAGAAATCAAACCCGCCTGTTCCGGATTCGCGCCCAGGTGCTTTTACCACCAAGCTAAATAAATAGCCGATCGCCACACCGAACAAAATCTCGACGAAATATCTACATTGTTTTATTCGCATTTCGAACAATATTTGACGCATCTATTGTTATATCTTTTACAGCACACGAACTTTGCAATTAGCATTATGAAAATTTAGGTTTCAATCGGGAAATCGCATCGAGAACACATGACGCCTACCGGTTAATAATCTATATGATTTCACATGGCTGTTCAAAGTCAAAGTCAAAGTCAAATATCTTTATTCAATATAGAAGCATTCACTTACTTATTGATAGTCAAAAAACTCTACCACCGGTTCGGAAGGTAAGCCACTGACCTGAGAAGAACCGGCGTAAGAAACTCAGCGGGACATTATTTTTTTTTTACTTGCCAAAAAAATTACAAATATGTGTACAATTATTAAACTCCACTTGAAAGAGCCTGGAGCGATCAATTCATTTCCAGAGTGTGTTATCATTCATATAATCACTAATACTATAATAGCCATTAACACACAAACGTTCCTTTACAAGTTTTTTGAATTTAGCAACGGATTCATTTTGAACGTTTTCTGGGATTTTGTTGTAAAAGCGTATACATTGTCCCATAAAAGATTTACTTATTCTACGCAATCTAGTTGAGGGTAGAACTAATTTATGCTTGTTCCTAGTATTTACATCATGCACATTACTAAATTTTGGAAAGTCATTCTTATTTTTGTGGACATACATAACATTAGCAAGTATGTACTGAGAAGCTACAGTCAATATTTTTATTTCTTTAAACAGGTTTCTTAGTGAGTCTTTGGGGCCCAGGTTATAAACCGCTCGAATAGCTCTCTTTTGCAGGATGAAAATAGTATTTATGTCGGCTGAATTTCCCCAATGTAGAATGCCATAAGACATTATACTGTGGAAATAGCTAAAATATACCAGACGAGCCGTATCCACATCAGTCAACTGTCTAATTTTTTTGACTGCAACGACTGCTGAGCTAAGTCTACTCGACAGTTTATTAATATGGGGGCCCCACTGCAATTTGGCATCTACGGTTATGCCAAGAAATACAGTCGAGTCAATGAGGTCTAACGCTTCCCCATGTAAAAGTACATCAGTTTTTACACTTTTTACGTTGGGAGTTGTAAATTTAATACATTTCGTTTTTTTACTATTCAACATTAAGTTATTAGCACTAAACCAATGCACTACAGTGGAGAGAGTATTGTTAACGTCGTCATAATTTGAAGAATGTCGTTTAACTTTAAAAATTAAAGAAGTATCATCAGCAAACAATACTATCTCATGATCATTATTTACAAGATAGGGCAGGTCATTTATGTAGATGAGGAAGAGAAAAGGCCCCAGAATAGATCCCTGTGGAACCCCCATACTTACCAGGGCCCCGGGAGATCTTTTGCCATTCACGTCAACTCTCTGAACACGATAGCTCAAGTACGATGTCAGAAGATTGAGTGCGGCATCTCTTATACCATAGTGGTGTAGTTTCCTGACCAGAGTGTCATGCTGTACACAATCAAATGCTTTGGTTAAGTCACAGAATATACCTAAGGCATCCTGTGACTCTTCCCAGGCTTCAAAAATATTCTTCACAAGCTGGATACCCGCATCTGTTGTTGAGCGACCCCTAGTAAATCCATATTGCTTGTTATGCAGCAATTTATGTGTACTAAAATGGAGTAACATTTGATTCAAAATAATTTTTTCAAAAAATTTTACTAAGAGTCGGTAGTACTGAAATAGGTCTAAAATTGCTGGGGTCAGAAGTACTACCAGATTTGAACACCGGAATAATCTTACTATGTTCTTTGAGATGGTTCACATTTACATTCAAATAATAGGTGTCAGGACTTTTTATACTTTGTGCCTTCAG